CCAGCATCCATGGCGTTGCCAGTCAAATCCTTTGCCTTCCTCTTCGCCAAACGGCCGTCGCTAGTGCGTTCACAAAGCGAGATGCATGCCGACATGGATCACAACCAAAGGTTTCCCGGCAACACGACAACGCCCAGTTTCGAAGTAGCACTGGACCTGATTTTCAAAGTCTTCCTTCCGGCCAATTTTTTGAAACCCAACTTTTGTTCATCAGCACCACGCTGCTGGGACCCGACATGGCAAACAACGAGCAGACGGTGGAACGAACGGATGCTTGTTTAAAAACAATGAACATTGACAGCTTAGGAGTCAGAAGGGAAATGCAGGGGACACCGTGAAGAAAATAATGAAAAAAACTAGACAAACCAAAAAGGGGACAAAGGTGGAAACCTTAACGGCCAGCCAGGAGTTTCGATGCGATTTTACAAGCAGTGATCAATTGAATCAATCAACTCTTGAATTTTGATGGCCAAAATCTATCACCATTCAAAACCTTCAGCATCTGACCAGGACCTCTGAGACCTCTGAGATCTGGGCATGTTGGCATCCAAGACGATGTTCTCGGGTTTCACATCCCGGAATACCACGTCCAACCTCGTTTTTCGCCGCGGCGCATCTTGGAGTTGGTGATAGTTGGTGGCTATGGCACCAAGGGAAGCCACTGTTGCTGCGAATCATCCAGGTGTTGAGAAATCTTATCATTTCAATAAGGTTACTCCGGTGTCCCCAGTTTGCAAGCACATCAATCATCATCAATCAGCATCAATCAGCATCTCCTACTGCTTTTCTTTTGGCAGACCGTGTTGGGAAAGCCCTTTGCGGCTCCGCCCTCCGGCAGCCATGGACCAATGGAGGCCCAGTAGCTCATCATGCAAATACGCCAGTGCCAGTAGCACCTGCCGCCAGGAAATGGATGAAATGGCTGCGATACGACGGAGGTGAACGGATCCAAACAGATCCAAACAGTTTGAATTACCCTCTGGTTATTTAACATAGCCATGGAAAATGGCCCATTTATAGATGATTTTCCCATTAAAACCTCCATTTATAAGGGATTTTCCATGGCTATGGTAAATAACCAGATGGTATATACACTGGTTGGTGGTTGAGCCCTACCCCCCTGAAAAATGATGGAGTGAAAGTCAGATTGGATCATCATCCCAACTAATTATTGGGGAAAATCATCCAAATGTTCCAAACCACCAACCAGGTTTATTATATACATTCCGGATGGAAACTATGGCTGGACTATGATAATGCCTATATATAATGACTAATGAAATACAATGACTCACCAAGATACAGAAATCCACTCGCCACGTGACAGTCTCATTGTCGGTATCCAATCAACTCATGCATGCCATGTGCAGGACCAAACCAATCAATCTATATAAGTTTCCATATCCCAAAGTATCAAAACATCAAAAGTTGAACATGTTCTGTAAAATCCACAAAATTCTCAACATCAACAAAGGCTATCTGGGGATATCTGGGGGTTTAACGGTTGGTGGTTTGGATTTCGGAACCAACATATCCCGTTGAACGATTTCCCCCTGAGAGAATGCTGTGATTTCAAACACCCAATACGAAAAAACACCACCAGCATCCACGATGTCCAAGATGCATGATCCCCTGTTTCCTTGGCATCCAAAGATTCGTTGCTCCACCCCAGTCTTGCGCCAGTAAAGTCATCGTAAAACCCATATTAGTTCTACTGAAATCTCAAACTTTGGCTCGTAACTTCTTCAGATTTCACCAGCTCACCAGTTTATCATGGAACATCTATTTTTCTCATGGAAAATACTGTTTTTTTTCATGGAACATCTATTTTTCTTGGGCTTTTCCCATGGTTTTCCCATGGTTTTCCCGTGGTTTTCCCCAGCAGTGAAACATCGCCTCCGCCAGCAGCCGGCGCACCAACCCCTCGCCAAGCCCGGGCCGACCGCAGCGCAGCAGCAGATCGTTGAGATTCCCATTACAACAGTACCTGGAAAGCAATGGGATCTATACAAGGTGATGCCCTACCACTTATAAGTTGGGATGATGATCCAATAATCCCAATAATGGTAACATATTCCAATGAACAATCACCATTACCCTCTGGTAAACAAACATAGCTATTGAAAATGGCCATATAAATAGTTGATTTTTCCCATTAAAAGTGGTGATTTTCCATAGCTATGTTAGTTTACCGGAGGGTATACAAGGTGATGCCCTACCACTTACCATCTGGTTTTTTAACATGGCCATGGAAAGATCCACCATTTTAAAGAGGTGTTTACCATCTATTTCTATGGGCCATTGTCCATGGCTATGTGAAATAACCAGAGGGTATAAGTTAGGTTTATAAACCATAGGAAGTACAGAGTAAGTATAGACATATCACAAACCAGAGTTATTGGAGTTATTTGCACCAACTTAGCGATTCCGAACTGGGGCACCACCTTGTACCATGACCCATGGGGCCATGGGGATCTGGGTGTATGGGACAATGTCAACCCTGGATTACCCCAAACGGCTGTTGAATTGGGAGGGTAGCATGAGAAAGTATTAGATTAATCATGACTATTGGAGGAGTACCCCCCTAATTACTCAACCATGCTTTATTAATCCGGGGTTGACATCAATATCAATGTATGTATATATATATAATATATATATATATGATCAATTATGCTGACTGATACGGTTGGAAAGTATATATTACACCAGTCTAAAGTGGTTGCATTGGGATTTATGACCATCCATGGGGATTTACTAAACCAAGACGCAGCGAGATGGGAGCTCAGCCACTCAGTAGCTATGGGTAGCTACTCCTTGGAATGTAGCGAGCAGGAAATGATATCATGTTCATACATGATTATATACATCTATAATAGATCATCTATATGTATATTATGATGATGATGATGATGATGCTGATGATGATGATGATGATGATGCTGATGATGATGCTGCTGATGATGATGATGATGATGATTTATGATGTTCAACTTTGTTTGCCATCTTCATAATTGATATGATGTAGCCTGGCGAACAGAACATGGGCAGAAAATGACCAGCACACACAGGAACGTAAGCAACAATCATTGAAAGAACTCTACCCGGTGCTGCAAATATCACAACAAACAACTGAACGTGGATGCCATATTTGGGCAGAACCAGGGAGCCACCCGGTATGGGCCGGGATGGGCCATATAAACCATATTGACATATTGATGCAATTCTCATTTTATAGTTCCGAACTTGGACATCTTTATAAATATCTATAATATATATATATAGAAGTAAGGTGAATTTTGGTACCCATCAAAGAAAAATGGCTACCTTTTAAAATAGCCTCTGAATACGTTTAGAGGATTACCCCTTTCGATGGCGGCACTCCATCACCAAAGCCATCTCGTTGCCCGGCGTTCCTTGGCAGAGTCCATGATCAGACTGCCCCAAGTTTACTGGTTGGTGGTTTTAACCATCTTGAAAAATATGAAAGTCAATGGGAAGGATTATCCCATATATATCGATATATTATGTTTAGAAGATTTTGGATGGGACTGTCCATCATCAAAATAGACTCGAGTGTACATCATCATGGATTGCATCATATTGCATCTAGCATCTCACAAAGTCCCGAAGATGTTGTCAAAAGTTGAATGGATTCTTCCAAAATCCTCCAAAACCACCAAACAAATCCATTTGATCTAAGGCGCTGAATGCACACAGCAATCGCACGATAAAGGGATGGCGGGCCGCTTTTAAGACCTGCTCACAGGGGTGTTCCAAGAGTCAGGTGAGGAATGCCAATCTGATTTTAAGACCAGCGTCCAACTCACAATGTCTATGAAACTCTTGGGCGGTTGTACGGCTGTGCCACATCCATGTGGTCTACCATCATTGCTTCCACCCAACAATCCATGAATTCATCACTTGGTTTACCCGCCTGACGCTCTTGCTTGGCGCGCGCCAGCATATCCTCGACCAATGGATTTCAGTCTGTCTTGACCCCCAGATCTATGCAAAACGCCTCTGTATACCCTCTGGTTATGACTAACACAGCCATGGAAGCCATGGCCCATAGAAATAGATGGTTTACCTATTAAAAATGGTGGATCTTTCCATGGCTGTGTTAAATAACCAAATGGTAGAACAAATTTGAATCACCAATGGTCAGATATGGTCATAAGTCATAAATCATAATGATTGTTTGTGATTACTATGAACACATATCATACAACATGTTGGATGACAATTTCAAATCAATAGCTGAAACTTGGGTCTAGCCATAGAGCATGGAAACTGAGTAATTAAATGTAATTAATTATCTAATGATATCTAATGATAATATATGATAATATAGAAATCTATGAAAATCCAACAACGCATAGGACATCTAAAATCCCTGAAAAATACCAAATGTGACTCTTTTTAAAAAAGAAATGGCTTGCAGAAGGTTCCGTTCAGTGAACCCAGTTTCAACCCACAATTTTAATGTGACATTTAAAGGGAACAATATATGCAACCTGGGTGAACATCCCTTAAACGTTTTCAGAGAATACAAGTAGTCGACTTGGTCGACCTGGCTGGGATGTTCAAAACATGTTGCGATTTTCCCTTGCCGGCCTGATCCAGAAAGCTGCTGAAGAATAGTGAAGATCATTTAGATATATGGGGATGAGTCAAAACCCTGGTACCGTGCCGTGAACCCCAAAATAGCTGGGATTTATGGATGTGAATAACCCACTAAAAATGTATCTATAGGTATTGAGCCATACCCATATCCATTTATGAAGACACCTAAAATCCGTCCCTTTTCTCGTTCAATTCCTTCATATTCCTTCATTTTGTTTGGTTCAATCCAAATTCAATCCCCATGCAACCACAAATTGGGTGCTGCCCCAAAATCGCAATCTAAATCGAAAAAAAACACACACCCACAGATGATTTCCCCCTATTTTCACCATGGAGTTTGGAACAAACAGACCCAACCACCCAACCCTCGGCGACCTGCGCCAAGTATTGACGTCGGTGCAAAATCTTCAGGGCACATCGACGCTCCCCAGCACCTGCAAATTTCTGCCAGGTCGCTTGCGGTGCTTGCGAAATCCGATGAACCTCCGTAAGAATGGTTGAAACATGTTGAAACCAATAATAAATAATTTGATAACACCACCATAAAGGGATCTGTGTTCATAGTAATCACAAACAATCATTATGATTTATGACTTATGACCATATCTGAATATATCTGACCATTGGTGATTCATCATTTGATCTACCATCTGGTTATTTAACATAGCCATGGAAAGATCCACCATTTTTAATAGGTAAACATGGTAAACCATCTATTTCTATGGGCCATGGCTTCCATGGCTATGCTAAATAACCAGAGGGAAATTTGGTAACACCACCATAAACCACCTATCAATACCTATCACCTGGTACATGATAAACCATTAAGGGATAAGGTTTATCTTGGTTTATCATGGTTTATATCATTTAACTAGTGATAAATCATGGGATCAAACCATGGATAAACCACCACCTGGTGCAGGTACCCGGATATCACCGACTTGATTCGACCAACCAAGTCTGCCGTTTTTATGGCCGTGCGACCAGAACATGATGGGTTTGAAGGAAAATATTGGTGGTATCTAGTGGTTACATAGTGGGATAAATATGGATAAATAACCAACTATAATAGTATCAACTAGTTATTATACTTTGCATTACTTTGCATTACTTTACATTACTTTACTGTATAAGTTATATATGTTACAGCATATGAAATCCAAGTTTATCCTTTTAAAAAGGGCGACAACGGCGACAACCCAGAAATTGGATCTTTGGGAGCATCAGGATGTGAATTCCGCCAACCACGGCTTTATGGAATAGCTTTTGATACATGCCCATATCATATCATATCATATCTCAAGATTGAACGAAGTGCAGAAATACCAAACACGGCGATAGTACCAACATATCAACATGATGTCATCTCAATAAAGTGTGCTCCCCGCACTTTGGAATCCCGGCTCTGACATTTCTGGAATCGATCCAATGGTGAGTTGAGATTCCTCACATAGATTGGTCGATGTTTGGTGTTAGCCATCCAGTCTCTTGGGTTCCAATTTGGATCCTCAGATTCTCCTCATCACCAAGACGACAAAACCCGACAAAGGATCTGGTCCGATAAAGGGGTTGTTAGAGCTGCATCCCTCAAGGGGCCCCAGAAGATAAATCCCCCATAAATCCCTCTCTATGTATCCCAAACCAGATCAAATAGATCGAATAGGGAATGTTTGGGGTATGAAAATATATGATGATCATGGACCTTGACTAACATCATTTTATGGTGAAGTAAACCCTTCTCTCGGTCCCAGTCTTCCCTGCGCCTGGTCTTAGGTCACAGGCCTGACGGTTTGGATTGGTTTGATAGACTTACTCTCTGGTTTTTTAACATGGCCATGGAAAATCACCACTTTTAATAGGTAAACCATGGAAAATCATCATGTTTAATAGGTAAACCATGGAAAATCACCACTTTTAATAGGTAAACCATCTACAAATGGGCCATCTATACCATGGCTATGTTAGTCATAACCAGAGGGTACCATCACTTACCCATGGTTCCGACATTCACTTCCCTTCTCATCAACAACTGGAGAGAAGCTTACGACGACGGTATCTTCTGACTCGCCATTTTGTGTACCTTGACTTTCAGCTAGATGTTCTGTAGCTAGAATTTAGACGGGAAAAACCCTTCGCAAATCAGCCCAGTAAACAAACATTGCCATGTTCATCCCTCCAGCTGACTTTGGACCATTGGCGTAAATCTTCAATTTTCAGACATCTTCAGATATCATATATGAGTTGCTTGTTTAATATCCTTATATATCAACTTATATCAACTTATATCAACTTGTATCCCCAGGATCCCATTAAACGACGATGGTTCCCCAGCTCCGATCCCGCCTCGTATACACTCCCAAAGCTGCCTTCGCCGATGAGCCCCACGATGCGGAAGGAGCTCAGCTTGTAGTCCTGCTAAAAATAAGGTAAGAAGGTAAGACAAAGTGACAAAATGTGGAGATTCTCATGAGAATTTGAAGAAAACATGTGATTCTTCGTGGGGATTTAATATATTTAATGAAGTATGATTGGGGATATACTGGGAATCTAACCAACAAAATGGGGAGTTCATGAAAAATATTCCATGGGGATCTGAGATCTGATGTGTCATATTTCTTCATGACAATCATTGAAAAATCATGGTCATAATCCACAGGAATCCAAACATAATGGCTATATATTAAGCACTATGTGTTGGATTGATGACCACCTTTGTAGTCTCCATGGCTGGATGCTGTTGGTCAAGATCGCCACCATGGTTACTCCACATCGACCATGCTGACTACCAATGCGCCAATTCTTTTGGTCAATATCTAAATTCCCGTTGCCAGCACTGACTATCGCACATCCATCATGGTAAAGCATGGTAAAACATGATACCATCAACAACTATTATGATATATAATGGAATATAACATGATAACATAATACATAACATGGATACATAACTTAAACTCTCATTGGCCTGAAACATTTGAACAAAACAACCCAGAAACAACGGTGACCCAAACACCCTCTCGTCTCCTGCAAATCCACAAACAACGATCCGCCGAGGGAACAATCCAAAACAGTGGATGGAACTGGTTAGGAAATGGACTTCTCCAGTCTTAAATGCTATAATCCAGGTATATTATGGTATATTTATCCTGTTAATTTAACTAAATCCAGTTTCCAGTGTTAAACAAATCCAAGTATAATCCAGGTATAAATGCCATAGCCAGTTAAATTAAGAGGATTCCAAACACCTTTTTGTCACTAAAATCCTCATTGTTGTTTAGCGCACCATCGTTGGTGATAAAATTATATACCATCTACCACTATCAATAACTCCGCACGTTCAAATGATTCTCCACTCTGCTCTTACCTTGACAAAGGTCTCCATACAACTTCAGGGGTGCAGTTCCAGTTATAAGTAGATATATAACCATAGTTTCCATAGTTTCCATAGTTCTAGGGTGCTATCGGATGTTTCAGGAATATACAAGGGTTTTTAATGTAAACAAAAACAATCAAAAACACATAGTAATCATAGAATTGAGGATTTAACAATATTTAACATGTCAAAAAATACAAAAAAAAAACAGCTTAAAACCAGAAAAGTCAACCCCGGCCATCCCCCAGCAACTGGCACCAACCCTAGTTGCCCCACCTTCTCCGAATCCGATGACACCGCAGAGCCCATGACACTCCGCCCTGGCCGGCGAGCCGCGCCCGCTGCCAGACGGCGTAGGGCCTGGGCATGGAGGACGGCCGACGAATCTTCTGTAGGGCCGATTTTGGAGATGTTTCCAAGTATTTTTGGAACGTTTTTGGAGTTTGGTGCTTGATATTTGATGTAATTTGTTGCTTCACAAATGAGTTTTCAATGAGTTTCAAATGGAAAACGTGGAGATTTCTACACAGAAACTCTGCCAACAAACATGGGATGGCTGGATGGCTGGTGATTCATGTCCGTCGCGACCTGGATTGCCGGGATTTCCCATTGACATCTACCCCGGCTTTCCTTAAGGAACGACGAAACTGTGCAAGTCACTAAGTCCAAGGTTCAAAGAGTAGACAACATAGTTATCTGGTTGGTATACCTACCCCTCTGAAAAATATGAAAGTCAGTTGGGATGATTACTCCCAATATATGGGAAAATAAAACATGTTCCAAACCACCAACCAGTTATAGCTGACTGATGCTGGTGACTTGTGTTATGTGCATATGGACATATATGGACCATGCTGAACTGGGATTGCAATAGAAAGTGGCAACAGTAGGCAAAACATGGCAAGACCATCAAAACCCTGTGCCGTGCACTTCTATCTACAAGTCCTGCTTGGCTTACGATTGGGATTTACACACTTTATGGTGATCAGGTACTATGTCATCATTCATACTGAAACATCCCATGCGAGCATAGCACTCACTTGGAAGTTGAACATCTCATCTGTATTGGCTAATGGATGTGCTTAATATCTCGGGAGTCTCTATGATAGATCTTTGGCATAGTATTTGCTGTAGGTCCTATTAACCAAGATCCATACCCCTTAGTGGTTGAATAATCATTATCTAATCATGTTTTCCTTGTTTATACTGCTGAGTAAATGTATTTTTTTCGGCAAATGGATTGGTGATTACACGCAAATGGAGTGTGGTTAAACGTGCAGATGGTATACAGCAAATGTTCCATTTCTGGGACGACAGAGTCGGCCAGGAAAAAAAAAAACAAACTCTTCCCCGTGACGGTTCCAATCCAGGTCAACCTAAGTCACCTCCCAATACCAACTGGCATCAGAACGATCACAGGATTATCATGACATATCATGATCCTTGTTCAAATATCTCTTTTCACCAAAAAAAATATCACCAGCAGTGGCATATGGCAGTGTGTCAAAACCTTGTACCCCTTCTGTTCACATCAAAATAGCTGGTAAATGGATGTGAATAACCCACTAAAAATGTATCTATAGGTATTGATTCATAGCCATATCACCGGAAGTGGCAACAAAAAGTCGTGTGTGTTCTTTGTGTTTTCACCATCCCTCAGCTTCTGCCAAGTTCACCCCAGGAGATGCCACCGCCACCAAGGAAGCCAGACCTGGATCGCCAAGGCGGTTGCCACTACGCGACGCTAAGGATCCCATAGGCAGAACGTAAGGGGCGTCATTTTTGATGGTCTCAAAATGTCAATTTACCCTGCGTTGAAAACAGTGTAGATTGGATGTAGATTAGTTTACTTAGTTCCTAACAGATTTCAATCCGTTTCGAAAAAACTTCAAACTACACAAAGTGTCAAAAAAAATGATTCACTGCGTTTCACATAACCAAATCTAGCATAGCTGGATGCTCATCGAACATGCTTTACATTTTGGTCCCATCATGTTTCATCAGAGGTACCCATCACCAACTGATGGATCCCTTGGGATAGAAGTCCCGCCTGTGATCTTCACCGATCGGGCACCTGGCACAAGAATGTCACGGCATGAGCAAAAACTTGGACGTGGTCCACGTGATGTTAGTCCAACTGATATATATATATATATGTATGCATATATAATTATATATATATGTTTTAAGCGAAGCAACATGACATGATGGTCTGCTTTTGATACTACTATCATGGCTCAATACTTGATTTAAACTGCAAATGGGAAAGACACATGTCATGAACATTTCATGGCATTTCTGACCTTTGAAAACCTGAAAATGAACAAGGACACCCCCCAAAATGGAGTGTGACGCGGCAAACGGAAAATGTGGGGGTTCATGGCAGTTCTCCATCACAATCCCACACAAATATCCCCCTGTTCATGCCCAGAATCAGGACCAGTCATGAACACCCAAAACAAAAAAAAACACGGCACATCTCGGACTTTTATGACAAGTCTACCCTCTGGTAATTTAACGTAGCTATTGAAAATGGCCATTAATAGTGGATTTTCCCATTAAAAATGGTGATTTTCCATAGCTATGTTAGTTTACCAGAGGGTATGACCAATGTTTCATAAATCACCATTGAATCACTCAAAAAAAAAGGTGAAATCCAAAGGTTTTTGTGGGTTCTATGTCCAATACATCGATGGCATCTTCCATGTAAGATGGAACCATGGAGTCTTCATTGGAATCATGAAAAATCAATATTCCAATGTTATTCCATGGATTTAATATTCCATGTTATTCCAATATTATTCATGTAAGATGGATCACATATAATTGATTTAATGTTATTTAAAGTACATCAGAATAATTGGAATATTCAATGTACTATGCCATCATTATAAATCAATATTCCAATGGCACTTCGTATCACCATGAAAAATCACCATTAATTCCAAGGCTGAAAAATCACCATGATGAAATCCTCATTCCCTCCGATCCATCATGGTGAAATCCCATGAACAATCACCATAAAAAATCACCATGAAAAATCACCATTAAAATATCTGGTTGGTGGTATACCTACCCCTCTGAAAAATATGAGTTCGTCAATGGGGAGGATGACATCCCATATATATATATATCCATCCCATATATTATGGAAGAAACATGTTCCAAAGCACCAACCAGATATCTCATTAACCATTATTAACCATTATTAAACACTATTAACCATCATTAACCATTAATATCCCATTGGTTAATATCCATTACCCTTTGGTAAACGAACATAACTATTGAACATGGCCATTTATAGTGGATTTGTTCCCATTAAAAATGGTGATTTTCCATAGTTATGTTAGTTTACCAAAGGGTAACATCCCATCCCATTACCATTTCCACAAAGGTTCCATGGGCTCCACATGTCCGCTGTCGGCACCCACCTGGTTGCGGCGCAGCTTGTCGAGCCAGTGGACTGCGAGACGGACCTTTTCGGACGCACTGACAGAGGGGATCAAACTTGACCTGTATGGAGATATCACGGGGCAATATTTTATGATACATATGTATGATGTATGATATTTTATTATAATATAATATAATATAGCATAATATAATACAATATATATATAGTAGATCCATACATACATATTTCATAAATATGGTATTAATACCATTCTATAAAAGCCCAACAACATCATCTTTGGCACTTACTGAAAATGGGGGACGGATGGAATTGTTTTTTCCATGTTTTCCTATCATTATCAGGTACCAAACCAAACCCATCCACAATCGAAGTCAACTATTTTGGGCCATTAAGTTTCACTGTCAAGCCTGTCAAACCTGAATCTAAGCACAGCACTCAACCAGGAATAAAACATGGAAACACAACAAACAGTGTTTGAAATCACCAAAATCATTCATGATGCTGCAAGCGTCCAAACATCAACGTAGGAGCTTGTCTGATTCTTGTCAGACCCTTTGGGTTTGAGCGCTTTGGAAGGACCTGGTTACCCACATGCTGGCAGTACGCGATCAAAAAGTGTCACTTTAGTTTTTAAAGTGTACCTTCCTTAAACAAGGAAACTCGTTGGCGGTTTCAAACCTGGGAAAAAAAAAACATGGTCAAACAGGGAACTTCAATGAACATCATCTTAACTATACATGGAAACTAACAACTTCTGAAATTGCCAATCAGCAGATTGTTGGTGCGTGGTGGTGCACGCTCCAGCTGTAAACTCTCACATTATTTTAGTAAATCCCAGATGGAGTGAGATGAAAATTCGAATGCTAGCTCTCTTGGAGGCCATGCATGGTAGTCCTGAAGGAGGCATTGAAGGCCGGCGATGCGGGATAGCACTGAAGAATAAATGGTTGGAGAACGAATGTGGCAACAGGAATCCTTGATCTAAACCCAAGTAGCCACAGCCTGCTGTTGTCAGTCAAAAAATAATCCTTTTGAAACTCAATAATGACCTGAAATTGTTTGTTTATTATTGTTCTGGCCAATCTCAAATACCATGCAACAGACTTTTTGCTTGGCTGGCTAGAACATATCCCAAATCAACCGGTGAAAACAGCAATACAAGACCCAACACCAGTCGAAATAAACCCAATATGCCAGTATCTGTTTCTGGCTCCCCGGCTGGATCTGCTGGTCCCCTCGGTGAGTACCTGAGAATTTCCAACTGGATCAGAAGGATCATCAGAGTAGAACCCCATGGGGTTTGACTTTTGAAGTCCTGGATTTTCCATGATTATCCCATCTAAAGATCCATTTCGAACTTGGTTACAAGATGATACAAGCCCACATACACTGACCAGCTTCTAAATCTATAGGGTCGTCCTCCAAGTATTTAGCAGGGTCTTTTTTGCTGGAGGGGATGGCATATTTTGACCAAGGAACCACACCTTTGGGAAGGGACTTTAAGGGACGTTGGAAAATATTAGATAAGCGACTCTTTTTTTATATATTGCATGGGGATGACCGGGGACGCCTTGACATTTGAAAATGAAACATGCTGGCTGATCTTTGCAGAGCCGGAATCTGCAGTGCATGATGGATTTTATATGATTTTATACCCTCTAGTATCCTCTGTTACCTCTGTACACGTTTTCACGAAAACGGACATGGCTTCCATGGCAAACTGCAACAAAGTTATACAGGTTCTATCCCACAGGTTGTAACCCAGTTATATATTGCAGTTGTAGCCCATAGGCTACTGCAATTAATCGCCCCTTTTCAGTGGAAAAATCCCCATTTCAAAATCCCCACAACTATTGTCACACATTGATTGTCACTATGATTATCCAATTATTCTCAATTCTCAATGTATTGGGATTCAGATATCCTACGGATTCAATGATCAATAACGTTTTTTCAGATATTTCCCAGTTATATATAGTTATATCAGTTATATCTCCCATAGGATCCTGTAGTATCATGTAATATCATAATATCCCATGATTTCCCATTAAAATAACCCATGGTCACATGTTTTAAACATGGACTTATTTGGTGTTTATTTGGTAAAAAAATGGTGTTGCCCTAGTAACATGGTTAGATCATGATATCCCCATTAAAGATCCCCATGGTTCCGATGCTTCCGAGCTGAAACCAGGTGACGCTTGCTGCCGGATGCCTCGGATCTTCGGAATCTTCACAGAGATTGATCCAGGATAGCAACGCCATGGATGAGACGTAAGATAAACCAGCTATATATAGCTATGATACATGTAATACATGATCATGATATCATAGTTATATCATATGTCCAAAATATATTCCAAATATCATTTATCATCATTTATCCAGGTCTAAACTTCTCTGACATATGATATTTGGACAGGCAAAAACCACTAATATTGTCCAGTGGATAATCCAGCTATATATACATAGTTATATATATCTGGGTAAATTATAATAATTCACTAACCTGAATCTTGTGGCCAGTTGGGGATGATTCCCCAAATCCTAACCATGATTCCAGGGCTCGGGAGATCAGTGAGGTCGTGATAATTTACCAGAAACATGGAATATCATGGATTTATGGAATATCACGGATTTACAACTGGTTGATGGTGCAATAACCACCTTGAAAAATATGAAAGTCAATGGGAAGGATTATCCCATATACTATGGAACAATAAAAAATGTTCCAAACCACCAACCAGTGTAAGATAAACATGGAATATCACGGATTTACAATGATGGATGTGAATTATGTCTAGATCATTGCATGTCACATAGTGGAAGGCAATGGAACAGAGTTGAACATAATGGAACATAATCTACTATTATTCAGGTGATATACCACCAATACTGGCCAATACTAGTATAATGCACTACGGTTTGTCCATATTTAACGATCAACATAACTAGGAATATCATGCAATATACCAATAATCCAGGTAATCATTGTTTCACAAATACGTCCTTTATTTTGACCATTACCATCTTCAAGTGATCCCCACCAACTGACATTCTATCTGACACTGGCATATACTTTGACATCATCTGGAATTATATATGGCACATATCATACATTGACATTCTATCTGACATTCTATCTGGCATTCTAACTGAAATACTCTCGAGATGGATGTGCGAGTCAATCCGCAGGCCGCAGCCAACAACTGAAACGACAAGCATGGCCGATGGATATTCACAGCAATGAATCCCTTTCCTCATTGAAATACCCATGACGGTCATGACGGGACCCCAAAACGAAGAGATCCAATACGAAACCATGATTTCTGATCTGAGTATTTCAATGTATTTCATATGTGAAACCAAGCAACAAAAATAGGAAGACATTAATATAAAATTATATAAAGAAATCTCATTTACCATCTTGTTATTTAACATAGCCATGGAAAATGGCCCATTTATAGATGGTTTTCCCATTAAAACCTCCATTTATAAGGGATTTTCCATGGCTATGTTAAATAACCAGAGGGTACCACTAGTAGGATTTTACTCTTCTACTTCTTTGGGGGTCGCTTTTTTGGGGAAGGGATTGATCATGCAATGCAACGTTGGAACATGTTGGAACCTGGGGCACCCCAACGACACGTGAGAGAACCGCAAGGCGCCACCACGGGAGGCCTATGGAGACAGGCCAACCTCTGGTCATTTCATCCATATAGCGATGAAGAACTACCATGTTTTCACGGCTAAATCATGTCCAAATGATTTAAATGGGTCTTCTGTTAAATTTCCAGAGCGTAACAACGAGAATCTGGTTTGTGACTCGTTAAACGTGGGCAGATGTGGGCATCTGAAGATCATCACGATCCTAATCCCATGTTTTTATATGTTTCAGTCATTGCCCTAGGAGGATCGTGCTCACCACTAGGAGGTTGGGTTTGTTAGATGCTGCCAGAGACCCCCACCAGAAATGGCTGGTATAAACCTCACCAGCCAAATGCTAGGCCATGGACTTCACCATGCCAACAGTTGGCATCCTTGTCACACAAGTGACCCAGCTACCCTCTGGTAAACTAACACTTTGCTGACTAGAAAATCACCCATTGATCAAGGGTAAATCAACTATAAATCACCATTTTCAATAGCTATGTTAGTCATTATCAGAGGGTAATATCATCCAATATCATCTTCTAGTTTCTTGCTCATCTAATATCATCCAATATCCTCTATATAAAATCCTCTAATATCGTCTTATACAATTATAATCTCATATCATCTAATATCATCCAATATCATTTACCCTCTGGTATTTAAACATAGCTATGGAAAATCACCATTTTATAGCTGGGAAAATCCAATATAAATGGCCATGTTCAATAGCTATGTTAGTTTACCAGGAGGGTAATATCACCTAATTTCATCCAATATCCTCTATATAAAATCCTCTAATATCGTCTTATACAATTATAATCTCATATCATCTAATATCATCCAATATCATTTACCCTCTGGTAATTTAACATAGCTAACTGGAAAATCACCATTTTATAGCTGGGAAAATCCACTATTTCTATGGCCATGTTCAATATCTTTTTGTATGTTTACCAGAGGGTAATATCACCTAATTTCATCCAATATCCTCTATATAAAATCCTCTAATATCGTCTTATACAATTATAATCTCATATCATCTAATATCATCCAATATCATTTACCCTCTGGTAATTTAACATAGCTAACTGGAAAATCACCATTTTATAGCTGGGAAAATCCACTATTTCTATGGCCATGTTCAATATTTTTTTGTATGTTTACCAGAGGGTAATATCACCTAATTTCATCCAATATCCTCTATATAAAATCCTCTAATGTCGTCTTATACAATTATAATCTCATATCATCTAATATCATCCAATATCATTTACCCTCTGGTAATTTAACATAGCTAACTGGAAAATCACCATTTTATAGCTGGGAAAATCCACTATTTCTATGGCCATGTTCAATATTTTTTTGTATGTTTACCAGAGGGTAATATCACCTAATTTCATCCAATATCCTCTATATAAAATCCTCTAATATCGTCTTAATATCAATTATAATCTCATATCATCTAATATCATCCAATATCATTTACCCTCTGGTAATTTAACATAGCTAACTGGAAAATCACCATTTTATAGCTGGGAAAATCCACTATTTCTATGGCCATGTTCAATATTTTTTTGTATGTTTACCAGAGGGTAATATCACCTAATTTCATCCAATATCCTCTATATAAAATCCTCTAATGTCGTCTTATACAATTATAATCTCATATCATCTAATATCATCCAATATCATTTACCCTCTGGTAATTTAACATAACTAACTGGAAAATCACCATTTTATAGCTGGGAAAATCCACTATTTCTATGGCCATGTTCAATAGCTTTTTGTATGTTTACCAGAGGGTAATATCACCTAATTTCATCCAATATCTGGGTAAATTATCATATTTCACTAACCTGAATCTTGTGGCCATTTGGGGATGATTTCCCAAATCCTAACCATGATTCCAGGGCTCGGGAGAACAGTGAGGTCGTGATGAAATTTCACCCGACACGCCTCGGCCAACAGCTCGTCCAAAGCACTTTCCGGAGCCGGGAGCACAGGCACGTCCAACCTCGGTCGGATGGATTTAGGGGATCTTCTGGGGGTCCACTTGGGTTATCCCCAAAGAACAGACACAATCTGCTTGGTTTACCCATAAATGACCATAAAATGACCCATTTATAGTGGATTTACCGTGATTTACCTCCATTTACCTTCTGGTAATTTAACATAGCGAACTGGAAAATCACCATTTATAGTGGATTTACCCATAAAAAATGGTGATGTTCCATAGTTTTGGAACCCACATCACTTCTCCGAATATGTCAATGGATTGGTTTGTTGGAGAAAATCTTCACCGGAAACCATAAATTTTCCCATCTGGTTGGTGGTATACCTACCCCTCTGAAAAATATTTGTCAGTTGGGATTATCATTCCCAATATATGCAAAAATAATATATAGCAAAACATAGAACATGTTCCAAACCACCAACCAGCAATGTTACAATTTGGAACCCAACATGCGCATCTATGCGCATTGTTTGGACAATCCTGGCTGATCTTGAATGGCTTTTGTAGGATTCCAATTCTGTTCGTCCATCTGAAAAGGACCGACTGACCGACCCTTGCAGAAAATGGATTCAGGCTGATGTCCACATTCTCTTAACATCACTACATGAGGAGGATGCCTCAACTCACTTGTACAAACACATTTAATTTTGGACTACGACCACAATGAATGGTGTGTTTTTGGTCCTGTACTTGTTTCCACTTAAAATGGCGGACCCCTATCATCATCTGAGTCCAAATTTTTGGCCATGTTGCTTTTTGGGGATACCTCCATTTGAGTCTAAAAACTCGGGGAACACCCTGAAAAATCCACTGGTAATCATCATGTTAGCAAGGGGAAACTGCGATTTGGAGTATATTATTTTCAGGCACAGCAACTCATTTTTTTCTGAACCATATCCCGCGAAATGTCCCCATTCCATCTCCACTAATTCATATGCTTTGGAAAAAAAAAACAAGCAATCAGTTAGTATCATATTATGTTCATATATGTTCATATCATTCATATCCCATGAACTATCTAAAGCATTGCCTCACAGTAAGCATTCCAGTATATAGGAATTACCCCCCTAAAAGATCGTTAAAAGGTTCAAAAAAAACATTTTCGGGTTTTTTTGTTCTAGTAAAGCAATGTCATAAAACAACCCATAGTTAGTTTTTCAGATGGTTGTTTTTATCCCACCCACTATGCCATAAGTCATGGGGGATGGTTTTATTGTTTATTACCCATCACGGATCCATGGTGCTGCTATATATGGTAACATGGATCCGATCAATATACCCCCTTTATGTTAGCATATATAGCATACATGGATCCTATGGGTTATGGGATATTATCCTCCGAATGGCAATATGATACTTATCATTGGTACCACCCTATTTAACAGCCGCTTGGGGATTATTAATCCAAGGTTGACATTAATGTGGGTAGAACAAGAATTATAAACCATTCCCCAAATCATCAAAAAAAGGTGGTATGTTTACCATTCCCAAATGGCTGGTTTATTATTATACAATCTACACCCACATTACTACTACCCTCCGGTAAACAAACATAGCTATTGAAAATGGCCATTTATAGTTGATTTACCCATTAAAAAATGTGATTTTCCATAGTTTTTTGTATCTTTACCAGAGGGTATACCCACATTACTGACATTAGGAGTCTACCACCCCCAATGCTCCAGGCGCCCCCGACACGCCGCTGACACCGCTGCGCACGCTGCGCACCGTCACTGTCGGGGACGACGCCGAAGGCCGCGGCGTGGCTTGGGGCGTGACTTCCCGCGGAGGCGTCGTCAGAAGCGGACCTGGCGGAGGAATGCCGCATTTTTTCATGGGAAAACCACTGGAAAGTGTTGAACATGTTGCATTTTTCATGGAAAATGTGTGGTTTGCAATGGGATTCATTGTTTGGCCTTTGAATGGGAAAACGAAGGAACATCACCTTTTTGTAAAACTAGATATGCAGCATATGAATATTTCTATTTAGGCTCTGTGTGGATGTAAACAATGGTGTGTGCTTTGTGTTTGTCTCTTCCAGCCTGAACCATCATTTTCGGAGATTAAAGCCATGTCATGTGTTTTGTCTCAGACTGTGGATTAAAGATGATTCAAACAATCACTATAATATATATATATATATAATATGTTATCTTTTTAGTATCTGTAGGATGGGGGATTGAACTATGAAATGGGGGGTTGTTTCCCAAGCAGTGGATTTTCATTTTCTGCACGCCTCTTGAGGACGGTTCAGCCCCTTGAAACCTTGGGAAAGGCTGCTAAAACCCAATGGATCCATGTATGGAGATGGTGTGATGTGGCTACAAATGCTACAGGTTCAATTCATCAATTCATGAGTCCTGAAAGCAACACACATTAAGTATTAACTGTGAACAAATTTCAAAAACGTAGCTGCAGCTGGGAAGGAACAATGAGACGGTGGGGAACAACTAAACACCCAGGGTGTTTGATTCAAAATAATAAGAACCGTTGCAGCAATCTTCCAGACAGTGTCGAAGCCGAAACCAGTGTTTCTCACTTCTGAAAGTATCAAGTGATGTTTTGTAAGGGTTTCCAACTCTTCAGAAACTCGCATGCTAGGATCCACATTTGCAGTATATTGATGTGTTTTCAGGATATTTCTCCAAATTGGATAGCACAACCCCCACAGTATAACATAATTTGATCATAAATTGAGAACCAATTCCCCAATCCTCTGTGTGACCAGACCTCCAACTATTCATAATTCCAAATGGAGATCATCTAAATATATATTATATACAGAATATACAGAATATACATTATATATATAATACATATTCTAAATACATTTTAAATTATTTTTTACATCTATATTATATATTTCATCTATAGCCTCTGGTTATGACTAACATAGCCATGGAAGCCATGGCTACTCCGGCGCCAACTGAAACCATTCAGAACGCACCAAGCAACTGGAATGGATCATGGGATCCAGGAAGGGAATCCTGCAGCTGTGCTTCAATCGAGTATATACGCATATATTACATGATATTTAATATATATAATATATTATATCTATCTGACATATTATATACAATATATATATATATATTTTACATTACATAGTATATATATATACATATTATACAATAATATATATATATATATTGAATAACAATATCTCTTTATATTATATTCACTATAAAATTAATCCAAAAATATTATATATATACATATATATATATGATATATCCATAATAAATAGAACACATATAATATAAACAAATATAATATGTAACATATAAACATTACTTAATATATATATATATAACTTATATAACATATAGAATGACATATACTATATCTATAATATATTGTATGTTATATATATGATATATGATATATATATATATATCTATTTATATTATGATACAGACTATATATATATTATTATACAGACTATGTATATATATGTGTATGTTCATATATAGATAATATATATATATACATACATACATGTATATTCAATATTAAATATTTATTGTAATGCGTGTATCATCCGATGACTCAAAACCCCCCAAAAGAACTCGTTCCGCTCTCGACCGCGCCTCGCCCAGGGACGTCCTCAACTCAGATCTTGCCTCCTTGACGACCTGGCGGAAAATTGGGTATGTCAGAAGAGCTGAGAATCAGAATCAACATATTTTGGGTAATCAGATTCTGAATATGATATTTTGGGTAATCAGAATCAGAATAATGGTAATAATATGATATTTCGGGTAATCAGAATCAGAATAATGGTAATAATATGATATTTTTGGTAATCAGGTTCAGAATATGATATTTTGGATAATCAGAATCAGAATAATGGTAATAATATGATATTTTTGGTAATCAGAATCAGAATAATGGTAATAATATGTAATAATATGATATTTTTGGTAATCAGAATCAGAATAATGGTAATAATATGATATTTTTGGGTAATCAGAATCAGAATAAGTAATAATATGATATTTTTGGGTAATCAGAATCAGAATAATGGTAATAATATGATATTTTGGGTAATCAGAATCAGAATAATGGTAATAATACGATATTTTGGGTAATCAGAATCAGAATAATGATAATAATATGCTATTTTGGGTAATCAGAATCAGAATAATGGTAATAATATGATATTTTGGGTAATCAGAATCAGAATAATGGTAATAATATGATATTTTGGGTAATCAGATTCAGAATAATGGTAATAATATGATATTTTGGGTAATCAGAATCAGAATAATGATAATACTATGATATGTTTGGTAATCATAATCAGAATAATATGATAATAATTGATATGATTATGGGGAATGCATTGGATATATCAGCAATGATACTCATATGATATTTTGGGTATAATATGATATATTTGTATCATAGTAATGCAGAATCACTATGGCAAATCGTATGATCATAAAAACAATATTAATGACTATTAATGATATATTAAAGTCCATAGTGATTCTGGGTATAAGATAATCTTGATATTAGCTAATAGCATCATTATGTGATATCATGGGTGTATGATATCATTGAACATCTGAAATCAAGAGTATCAAGGTTGACCTGAACGGAAGCCTACAGGGAACCAAGCGGTCGGTTCTTGGTAACGACCAGCTTTCTTCGGGAAAGACCAGACAGCTTTCAAAAGAAGGTACTGCATGAAAGAATTTCTGTTTTGATATTGATGCAATGAAATTCATGGTCTACCCTTTTTGGAAGAAATGCTGAACCTGCCAAAAAATTGTTTGAAAGTAATACCGTACACCTTTGAAAGACGAGCTGCGCTATGTGAAAGTTGCAACAATCCCATATTATTGCAATGGAATGGTCTACCTCTGGTACCAGAATAATAAATTGCACTAGTTGATTTGCAATTACGTGTGTATATATATATATATCATCAGACTTTGCTCACAGAATATTTCACTTTGCCAAATATACATACCACAAATGATATGCGTGCACCTTGTGGGTCATGGGCCTATGATTTGTCGCACGGTATTTCTTTTTTTTGTTTGGAAAGTTATTAAAACCTTGGGAACAACGAACGAATCATAATTCATGTCCAAAATAAGTGGCTACAAAGTGGCAAAGTGGGTAGGATTTGAGGGGGCTAGCGTATATCCATATCATAATCAGTATGATCGTCATCATACGAACAAGAACAACAACACTAATCGTCATGATTGTCACTTTCATAAATACACATGAATCGTGATTCTCATCATTTGAGTTGGCACCATTTTGCATCCAACAACCATCAACAGGGACATCATCCACCCCCAACTTTGGCCTCAAAGAAAGCGCTCTGAGACAGCTGACTTTGCTGCAACAATGACTGGCGTGCGGCGCGGGTGGGGCTATCCAGGCTATGGTCATAGTGACTTGTTTCAAAAAAGATCGTGCTTCCTACTTCTATGGAGAAAGGAGTTGTCCTCAAGAAACGCAGCAACCATGAATATAAAATTGGATTTTTGGGTGATGTGGGCGGTAAGACAAATGCCTTCCAAGATAGATTGGAATTACATTGGTTGTTGCACAAAATTGTACTACAAAACATCCCCATATACGGTAGTCAACATCCCATTTCATGACCTACTAGTACTGCTGAGGTACACTTGCAACATTGAGTTTCAGGAAATCCTTCAAAATGGACGGAAGTCGACGAAAAGGGAGCTTGATTTTGAGAAACTACCAGCTGGTGAAGATGAATTACTGTACTTCCCTGAAAATTCCAACACATCATGTGCTGCATGTGAATCCTCCATCCTAAGGTCACACCATCACCATGGGCTAATCGCGTGATGCTATGAATAAAACGTGTAATTGTAGTCCGGGTACATCCGGTAACATCCGGATTGTAACCCTGGCACATTTATTTAGCAAGCAGCTGGTGAATTTACTACAGTTCTTTTCTGATTAAGAAGGGTCATTAACCAGCCAAGGTTTTCCATGGTTTACCCTCTGGTAAACTAACATAGCTATGGAAAATCACCTTTTTTAATGGGAAAATCCACTATAAATGGCCATTTTCATAGCTATGTTAGTTTACCAGAGGGTAAACCAATGGTTTTCAGATTGTTCATCCTGCTGCATCCCCGCCTCCGTAAACTTTTGGCTCCTGCAGTGGAGAATATGCCAGGGCTCCAGATCCACATTCATAGAGACCATCGAAACCAAAACCAACGGATTCTGATCTTCAATGATACCCTCTGGTTATGACTAACATAGCCATGGAAAATGGTCCATTTATAGATGATTTTCCATGGCTATGTTAAATAACCAGAGGGTATTCTTTAATTGTGTCTAAAAAACATGATTTATTCCTGATAATTAAAGATGTTTTCCACACTAATAGTTACAAACCTGATATTCCTTGGAAAATGTGTCTATCTCAAGTTCCTTTGGGGATCCAATTTGGAATGTGTTTTTTTTTTTCCGGTGATTTTCCATCCTTTGATGAATTCCAAAGCGGGTTCACCTTGTGAAGTCGAACGCCGTGAAGCCTTGGGCCTGGAAGGGGCCGGCAGTGCCGTCTCTTTGCCCCCGACACATGGATTTTCATATCATGTAGATTAATGTAGTATGTAAATGTGTGTAATTATATGTTGAATATTATATATATACATATAGAAATTAATACACATATTCAATCAAATTCATCTACAAATGTATTACAGTATTTCTATATTTTAAAGATATAAATCAATCTGTTTATTCGAACCATGGATTCATGGCCACAGCCCTTTGATAGGTCACGGTTTTTCCCCTCCAACCTGTGACAGCGAAGATGCGGATCCAAAGCGCATCCACTCAACCCATGATCCCACGGTGGGCATCACGAAGCGACTGACAAAGAAACTGACAATCCATGTATAAGTGGGGATATTCCATTCATCTACCCATGGAGTCTCCATGTGCAAAAGTAAATTCCGAATGCTTTTGCGCTTTTAAGTCTCGATTTCATTCGATTTCTTCATGAACTGAGAGTATTTAAGTTGAACCGAATGGTTTTTTTCTTGGCCAACAAACATAACTGTGGGGCCGCCGTGCTCAGCTTGTGCTCGGCTCCCGCACATTCGTCGCCGATGGATCTGCGCGTGCACGCAGCAAGCGGTGGATCTGACGCTGCGATGCTGGGTGATGTTCTGGATGTTTCTGAGATCTTATAGTCTATAATAGTATAGTGATTTTTATATGGTGATTACTAATTACCATAATATTCCAAAATGGTGGATTTTATAGGGATTTTTTATGGTAATTTTCTGGTGGGATTTTTTTGCGCCACAGCTGCGGTGTCTAAACTTGATACGGGAAACGCCCCGGGAAATGATCTCCAGCCACAGCATGAAAAATCCCCACCAGGTTTTGTGATGAATTGGATTTTTTTTTGCCCAACAAAAATGGCAACAAAAAGAAATTTTCGGGTATAGGCAAAATCACCAGACATTTGTTTTGAGACTGGGAAATCCCAACAGCCGCATTGTGAGGAAACGTACCACAGTCATCCCATAGTCATCCCCAAAATTGGCATGTTCTCAAGGCATCTCAAGCCGCAGCTCGTCGAAGTGCCGGGATCCCCAACACATTCGGAATGTCCCTCTCCTGACCGCTGGGACTAGCTCACAATGACTCCCAAAAAACGACGCGACTCTTCAATGCTGGTTGAATTGGGAGTGCTGGTCCCTGTATTTCAAACATGGAAGTTCAGTCATTGTTTTGAGTATCATCAATCTTCAGGTCTACAATCCAGTTTTTCATGCATTAAATTCAATCAAATATCCATCTTTCATTGAGAAAATCCAGTACAATCATTAGACATATTTATTTTACATTAAGGAAATCCACTAAACAAATCCTAAATCATCATGTTCCATTGGGAAATCCACTAAAATCATCAAACAATCCACTAAAACCATCTACCATCCTCTGTGTTTCCACCGGGTTTTCTTCCCACGTCTCTGGGCGTCCCAAACGCACGGCCAGGTGTAGGGCGCTGTTGCCTTCGTGGTTGCTCTGCTGTAGAGCCTGGCAGTGGGATTATTTGATGATCATATGGATGGTATATATCAATTATGGGATATTATTGTGATATATATATATATATGTAATATTATGGGATATTTACCATTAATTGTGGGATATTAACCATTAATTATAGGATATTATCACAATTAACTATGTCATATATAATCATATGATCATCAATTATACATATGATTAAGTATGTTTAATTGATGATCATATGATGGATTATTTATATTATTGATGATATTGGATGTTATCATCAACTATATATACACACACAGGTGTGCATGATGTAATGTATGGGTTACTTATTAATATAGTAATGTATCATATACTATTCATGGGTTTACTATATCATTTACCATTTGCCATATATGATACTAGCCATGATATGTTGGCTCATCATCAATTATACATGTATATATATATATGGGTTACTGATTCATATACTTTCATGGGATTCATATGTAGTTAGTAGTTCTCATATATTTGATGTGTATATTGGATGTTTATTTGTAACTATATACGGGACTGGTATACTTATGCTAGCCATTATATGTATGTATATATATATACAGTATATATTATGACTGAGAATTACCCTCTTGTTATTTGGAATGATCAACCAGATGTTTCACCTTCTTATTTGACATGGTGATTTTCATTGGTTTTCGACTTCGCCATGTCAACCAGGGTATTTTTTTGACCGCGCGCCCCAGAAAAGATCCCCTCAGTCCCCTCAGATCCCCACAGTACCTAGTTCTGACCATGAATATCATGTACCTGGGTAAATTATAACGACCTCACTGTTCTCCCGAGCCCTGGAAATCATGGTTAGGATTTGGGAAATCATCCCCAAATGGCCGCAAGATTCAGGTTAGTGAAATATGATAATTTACCCAGATGTACTATCCCATGTTGTTTCATTATAAAAAGGGGAATCAATATACTGTCAACTACATCCACTATCATTGGGAATCAATATGATATATATATATATATTATCAATATATCCACTATCGTTGGGAATCAATATGCTATCTTTGGGAATCATATTTTTATTAGTCTATCACATGTGTATGTGTCATGGTCAAAAGATTGGATTAATGTGGTATGGTCATCCATTCTGTAATGGGAATCCAAACAGAAGGAGGACCATTTCCCAATATGAGCAATTCAACCAAATTTTGGCCGTAGCACATATATATATATATTGAAGTGTAGATATTGGTTAGTATTGAGTCTATGTATATGGTTTAGGTCATGGGGTTATGTATTGGGTTGACTTCTTGGTGTAATTGATATATGTGTATCATGAGTTTCATTGGATTTTATATAATTATATTAATGGGATTTAGTGGGTCTGCATTAATGAGGCTATTTTTTGTACAGAGCTTCTATGAAGAGTAATGTTCTATGAAAGTGTAGTAATCACGGTAATTGTTGGCATTTTTTTTAATGATTAGTTAATGATTCGTTGATTGTTTTCAAGTAGGGTCCGTTTCAACATGTGGTATCCCAAACTAATGCAATTTCAATGGAATATGGTGATAAACTATGGACTGTTCTGACATTTTGGGATTCTACAATTGGAGACTACCCTATGTGCCACAGCTAACAAGTCTTAGCTAGACACTCGATGTATTCTTTCATGGCACAACAATAAACAAGCAACCCAACAAACCTACCAAACCAAGCTTGAATAAACAAATCATTTGCAGGATCATTTGCAGGGCTTACCCATAGGACTACTTGGGAAAATTTGGAAACAAAACATGGAAAACACATTATTTCCTGAATGTGTTGCCTGTAGAATCCAACAGGATAAATATTACTGCCCATACCACACGTGCATGGGTACAGTAGTCTATGTTTATCAACATGTGGATGCTTCTTGGAGTAATTCGCTTCCACAAATATCACATACCATACCTGGATCTGATGATCTGGCTGGGTCATCCGACAAAGAAACAGATTGGCCTGGAGAATTCATTCCAAATAGCTGGATGAATCGAAAAAATGGTATGTTTTGAAACTGCATTAATATTCATCGCTTGTTGATCCCTGCCAACCGTTGAAGTGTGACATACGGCAAACCCATCTCACCAATCTAAGCCTAAAACTCAGAATCCGAGTGTAAGTACCCGGTGTTAGACGATGATATTGGCATGTTGTGATAGACTCGGATCGGCTTCCTTTGGGTCAAAATGGGGACCGGACTAGAATTATGGGGCACTATAAAAGCAACAAACAGCTGAGTTAAAAACTATAAAATCTGTGGATGAGCACCAACGTTCTGGTTAGCCCCTTAGGAGACCCGAGAAAACAAAGGGGACAGCTTCGCGCAGAGCAACTTGTCACCGTGTTTCGATGAAGCAGGAAGATCCGAGCTGTCGGATATGGCAAGCGCGGTGTGAACTGGGGAAGAAAATCGATTTGGTTTTAAGATGTCTCAACGCATCGAAAAACGCCATTTTGGAGTTTAATTTACCAGGTGTATCTATCTATATTTTGGGGATTTTTTTTGGGGGGCATAATTACATAGGAAACCACCACCAGTGAAATTGTCTGTTGAGCTGAAGACACGAAATAGCCGTGGGCAGTCTGGGTCATTTCATATGAGCCGTGACCATCCCACACTCAAACGATCCCGGTTGTGAAACCAATGCCGTACATCCAAAAAGTCAGTAGAATAGATCAAGTTGGGACGTGAATGAGCCATTTTACCATTTTCTCATTAGCATTCTTTAGCAATGTAAAATCTAGGACATCTGACATCGTATACACATAGATGGCGTTGCTGCCTCTACCCCCTGTCCGAGAAAATGATCTGATCTTCACTGTTTCCTGATCCAAAGCCCCAAGACACACCGTTTCCTTGCAGAAGCACGCCCTGTTACGTGCTTGACCAAACGTCGGCGCAGCATCGTCATGTTATGGCCATGACTCGGCGAACAAGGGGCCAAAAGCCATCTGAACTACGGATAGGTTGCCGACATCTGCTGAATCATGCTGATATCGTGGTTGTGTTTGACTTTCTCCGTATTTCTTGCTTGAGTTGTAGATGTTCGCATAGTTTTTTTTCTTTTTTCGGAACGTGCGTGATCGTGCGCTTTATTATCAGGAGCTATTTCCCTTGCATGAATCAGAACTGCTACAGCGTATTACAGCGTTTAGCTTGGGAAGTCAAAGTTCCCTAGCTTTTACCTGCATATGCAGAAGCATCACGATACTGTGTGTATTGTTGAATGTCAGTCATGTCTGCATCGGACTCCACAAAATCCAAATGAATTTATCTACCAGCTGGCATTCTAGTAGAAAAATGGTTTACGGTTTACCCATGTTTTCCATTGTTTTCCTATTGCAAATCTAATTTCAGTTGCCTTTAAAGATATACCACATCTGTCTCTATCCCTTGTCCGAGTACACCTCGCGTGCCACAAACCAGTTGCAGCACACCCCGGTGCTCACTGGGGACTCCGACCAAGTCCTATCTGGAGCACCAGAAAAAATCACAAAAATCGCGGTGAAACGTGGCTAGTCACATACAAACCTCCTTACTGATGGCACTCAGCACCTGGATTTTCTTATGGAGCAATGGATTATCGCAAATTTTCAAAGATCGAAAATCATCATACAGGTCCAACAAAATCCAATGGTCAATCTTCATATCCCTATGAAACACGTCATTTCTTTGGTGGTATACTACCATTTTCAGACGAAAAACAGATCTGAAGTTTCTCTCACAACGCTGAAGAAACACAGTGCGACAACATGCTAGGAGGTAGGAGGGTGCATCTTCGGAGCCTGTCCTTGAAGGCGAATTGCTGCATTTCGCTAACTAAACCAAGACGACAAATTCTGAAGGAAAGTTCAGAAGTCTCTAACATAATTCTAATAGTTGTTTTTTCCATACAATAATATACATATAATTATAATGTATATATATATATTATATACATACAACATCATACAACCATATACATACCATATGTACACATGGAAATGTCATGACATATATGGAATTTTGGCAAAAGTCTAGACACTGGGTGAACCTTCAGGTACATCAGCCCCAAATGCTGATCTTGAGTCAGGATCTGGGGGCGCTGCGACTGGGTCTTCGAGTGGCAAACACCAAATGGCTTTGCTTGGAAAAATTGTTTGAAAGATCTCAATATCATGAGGTTTTTCTGAATACTATCTCCATCTAAGCTCGAAGTAGAAAACAGATCATCAGTCCATGCATCAGCTGCCTTGTTTGCCCCAGCCCAGTCGCGTTTATTTAGCAAACTGCATCAGTGAAGAGTCTGCTGGGACGCTTTCATTCCACATAGGAGCCTGACGCCGTCTGACGCCCAAACTTCGGTTGATGAACTGTTAACTCATGGCCGACTCAGGGCATAGAAATCCACTCAAATCCAACTAACCGGTCATGGTGGCTATATCGCCAGAGCCGACCATGGGGGAGAAATTAGATTCATCATGATTCATCATGATTCATATGTTTAGAGAAATAGGGATGGAACATAAATATACTTAAAACATGTTTGCAAAAGGCATATCTACAACGGCAACATGCAGCAGGTGGGATCAAACCACGTGTTCCTGATCTGCATTTAATGATTTGAATACAGAAATGTGCTGGGAAGCAAGGTGAACTGAAACAAAATGGGTTCTTCCAACCCAATTTTATGGCTAACAACAGGGGAGAATCAAATTATCAAATCTCAATCAATCCGTTTTCTCAAAATTGTCAAACAAACCCAAAGGATCACTGTTCAAAACTCCCTGTCCTTTGTACCGCTTAATGAATCGGGATTCTCATCATATCGATTACATCACAACCAGCCCCAAACCAGCTGGAATCACGAAGCATGATATTGGTCATCAAATGACACCAAATGGACTTGCCTGAAAATAGGCATCCCACATTTCATGGTTGATCAATTATAATGTTTATCATCACTTTTCCGCTTGAAGCTGGCCAACCAATTTTCAGACACGCCCAAACTGTCATCTTGTTGTTTATATGTTACATAATCATTACAGCCCCATATTCTCATTAATTATATTCCCATTTTTGTTGATGCAATCCTCCATTTCCATCAACTCGTCCCATCATAATAAGTTGCTTGGTTTTATCCCATGATTCATATCCCCCATGATATCGAATGAAATATCTATAATTATATCATTAAATCCAATCCCCAAAAAATAGTTTCCATATATTAATTGTAGGATTAAATCGGATTGATGTCCGCCTTTGTTTCCCCCATTAGATTGGCACCATTTTTTGAATCACCCTTTTTTTGATTCCCAGAATTCCCAATGATCCGGACATATCCAGACCTGACTATGGGTCGCATCGAAACCATCACCACTGCTGTAGTGAAGGCGATGCCATCCGTGCCAGTGAAGCTAATGAGTTCCAACAAAGCTTCCTACAGCGGACGTTGGGCAGCCGTTTTTCTAACAAGTATAGCAGCTATGAATTGATGATGGAAATATATGGAAATGGACAACATAAAATGAATCAATCATGGGAATCGTGGATGAACATATGGTTACCCTCTGGTTAACAAAACTATGGAAAATGGATGAAGATGGACCATTTACAAATGATCAACCGATGAAAAGGGTGCCTTTCCATAGCTATGTTAAATTACCAAAGGGCAATATTTTGTGGGCAAACTGTTTGCTGGTTCCTGGTGGTTTGACCAACGAAAACAAATATCTCTTCACTCAAAATTGATCAAAATCTTCCCAGGGGTTTGAACATATTGGAGCTGGGAATGAGAGGCCAATAATTTTAGGGGGTGGGGGATGGCCAATATGAAAACCAGAGTTTTGGTAGATTCCTGCTGATTTCCAACATACCCAAGCTGGATAGCTGGATCATGAGAGACCATCCATTTTGATCACGTCCTTTGGCTGCCGCTCAGGCGTTGAAACAACGCCAGACCCGGGAACCTCCGCTTCAGCTTTGAATACGCAAGTGGTATCAGAAATGAACTGCGAGAAGAGTCCCACTTTTTTTGTATTAAATGGATGGGTTAATGAATGGTTAATGAATGGTTAATAATGATTTCAGAAAGTATCAAACATCTTCAAAAAAAACATGGCGAAGCAAAAACAGCCGAGTGTCAGCGCTGTTCCAACTTGGCTCCTGCATGGGGTTTCGAGACTGAGACTGAGACTGAGGTTTTTAAAGGATGAAGGGATGTGTTAGATTCGTTGAAACCATGGATTTGTATATGATTATATGGATTTGTATACGGATATGTATAACATTTTGCCAACTGGATTTGTTAGATTTCTTGCAAACTTTTCAACAACTGGATGTGTTGGATTTGCTGCATATTTGGGCGCTAGCAGCGGCGGCATCTGTTTTCAAACCCCGCGATCCTGGGAGCAAAGGGACTGATTGGAGTCGCAACTCCCAACCAATGGAATGGGTTGAGCAGATTCTTTCAACCTCGTGACGATCCAGTGGTTAATGATGGTTAATGATGGGTTAATGATGGTTAGTGATGGTTAATGATGGTTATATAATGATGGGTCATGATGGGTTATATAATGATGGGTTAATGATGCTTTCAACCTCAATCGTCTGAGATTTGTCTTGATTGGGACGGCCACAGTGACTGGTGTCAGCGGGATAACACCACTTTCATTGTCTTGACTTTATGACTGTGGGTCAAAACAAGACCTCCCGGAAAAGGGAAAGGTGCACATCCAAGTTGAGTCATCTGATCTGCAAGATCCAGGACCAGCAAAACATAGGACCAAGACCCCATCATCAATATTGGTGTTTCCATAAATGGAGGTACCCTAAAATGGATGGTTTATAGTGGAAAAATACAATTAAAATGGATGATTTGGGGGTACCCCTATTTCAGGAAACCTCCATATCAACATCAGAATGAGTATACGAGTTCCGGAGATCATGTCCATACATTTCCATACATTTCCATCATTTCCCATGTTTTCATGGAGCCGACTTTCACCTTCCATTGGTCCATGCCCAGCAGCGTACTAGTAAAGCGTTCAACGCGTGGCAAGTTTAAGATCTCCAACGGCTCGGCCATGGTTGTCAAAGCCAAAGCTGCCAGAGCGAGCGTCCGGTACATTGCAAAGCTTCCTACGCGGTAAGGTGATGTAAAATGACAGGTGCTCCACGACCCACGGCCGCCGGTCTCCCAGTCGGACCCCTCTGTCGGCCCGAAGGATCCGGCAACGCGTTGGCCGCGAGCAAAAAGCTGAGATCGGTTTTCTAGTAGACACTGAAGCCCAAAGGTGCGGCGTGATCATGTTTCCACCAGTATAGGTGGGTTCAATATGCTTCAACCCGCGTGAAACGCATTACCATCCGCCAATTTCACAATTGGTTGTGGTTTAGATGGTCCCCCAAAAAATAATACATCGTGGGTTTCCATAGAAAACTGCAACATAGTACGAGAGATTACCAGAGATTACCTAGAGGGATTTCGCATTTAAGGCAAAGTGGGGATCAGCAACCTGCAACTCTGCCTGAGATGCACCGCTCGACAACAACATCCGCAGGGCTTTATCCTCAGCGTTTGATGGTTGAAATGTAATGAAACCATCAAGTAAAAAACCAGCGAAAATGTCGGGAAAGCCGCTACAGTTCAAACATACACATTGATTGTTGTTTGCTGTGTATGTACGAATTAAAGTTGCTTAAGCGCATCATCTGCTCAACAACCACAACATGCCACAACCATCGTTGAGATACCTTGCCATTGACACATCTTGGATAGATCGCAAAAGCCCCCACTGCCATGGGTCTTCGCAATGTTTGTTCCGTTCCCCAATATGGTCTACCCTCTGGTAAACAGCCACATAACGAACTGGAAAATCCACCATGTTCGATAGGTAAATCCACTATAAATGGCCATGTTCAATAGCTGGCTTTGTATGTGTACCATGGCTGCAGAGGGTATACTAAGTTTGGCTTTAAAGGGTTTTCCAAAAAGGCTTATGATAACCCCCAAGATCCCAGTACCCAATCCATAGCAATCCACCAGGCTTGCCCGCCATGCCGGCTTCAGCACTGAGCATCAGAGGTGTCCTTGTGTAAAACTTAAGTGGACTCCAAAGGCGTTGATAGGTTTACCCATGGTTTACCCCTGGTAAACATCTAATGTCGCTCCTGAAAATGATCATAGTTGATCTACCTCTTTGAAATATAAGCAAAAGTGTGATTTTCCATAGTTATGTTAGTTTACCAGAGGGTACGCCTTGTGAAAATCATTTGAACATGGGTTTTGGAAGCTACAGCACTTCCTTTTTGATTTCCTGGAGTTTTTGACTTTGGATTCCTGGGGCCTGATTGACCATTTTTTTTGAGGCAATCCACTCAGTTTCCTGATAAAGCCAAGGAGAGTTATTACACATGCACAATCATAGACAAATTGTAGATGCTGGAGTGACTCAATTGTCGCCACATCAGACTTTGGCAACTTTCTGGCTTCCGAATTCTTCCGAGCTCCCCAAATTTAAGCATTGCATCTCCGTAACCTCTCAGTGATCTACACATTGGATCTCGGCAACATATCAAACGATCAGTATTCCCAAAGCAGAAACATAACCCTTAGCCCAAAAAAGGCTACAATGCCTACAGAAAATGGTTCACTTCATCATCGATGTTTCACTTTTCTATTCGCTTGAAAATAGCTACAGTATGCTACAGTACAGTCAGAATAGCTGGGATTTTTCGATGTTCACCCCTTAAATTCACCGCAAAAAAAAAAGCGCGTGGTCATCGTTGAGGCGCCCAACATGCCACTGACAGGATGGGCCGGCGACACCTGCATCCCCCATCTTCTGCCCCACAAACTTGAAAGATCAACGATTTCCGATTTTCCTGTACCCTCTGGTAAACTAACATAGCAATGGAAAATCACCATTTTTAATAGGAAAATCCACTATAAATGGCAATTTTCAATAGCTATGTTAAATTACCAGAGGGTAAATACACAGATCCTTCAGTTTTTTCGGAAACATCTCCCCAAAGCATTTCTGCCCGTCAGATCCCGTCAGCATCGTCAGCATCCTAGCCTCTGCTTGTGCTCTCAGAAGAACCTGAACCAGTCTGGTGCAGCACCAGTCTCAGGAGACAAAATATCATCAAACATCAGCCGATCCATCACCATGTCAGAAATTCTGAACTGTGGGTTCTATGTTTGTCTGAACATGGGGAAACTCACGACATTCACTAGCCCAAATTGCATCAAACTTGTGATGTCTGGGAGACCATCTTCCAAGCCCGATGACCTGCCTGGAACCAGTGGATAGGTAAAACATATCAAGTCATAGGACTTCACTGAAATAGGCTGCGATAGTTGCCACTACTGACTACCCATCAGAATTTATATATATACACGTATATATATATATGATATATATATATATGTGATATATATGATATATATATATATATATGATATATATATATATGATATGTATGTATATATATATATATGTAATATATTTATGTGCTATTTATATTCTGGTTTAAAGTGAAACTCAAAGATTCTAGTGACACCTGCTCCTTCACAATAGATGTAAGATTCCCAGCCGTGAAATCATGGCTGCAATGGGTGGACATTTACTATTTTAAGAGCTATCTAAACACCGGAAAGGTTCAATTGTTGGCACATCCTTCAAAATAGCAAGCATAGTTGCGTAATAAAACTAGAAAGATCTAGACACAGAATCCATCATATATATATATGTAATATTATATAATATTACATATATATGTAATATTATAATATATATATATAATATCTAATATGTTACTCATAATATAGAAGATATAATATACCCTCCAGTAAATTAACATAGACCCTGCCAGTCATCAGGCTAATCAGATTAGTTTCCACTAGAAGTTGCTAATTTTCAGGGTCCAACTGTTAATCTGCTGAAGGGTACATATATATATATATATATATAAAACTAATATATTACTCATAACCCATAGGATCCATGTATGCTATATATGGTAACATTTACCATCAATATACCCCCAATGTTAGCATATATACCATACATGGATCCTATGGGTAATATAGAAGATATAATATATATATATATAATACATTATAACATACATGAATTATGGAGGCATCCCATCCCCATCCCCTCCCCCGCGCCCGAAGGCCGCGTTCCGCATGCGGCGTGGCGGCGGCCAGGTGCAATGCCGTCCAGCCGTCCGCGTTGGGCGCGTTGATCCTGGACGAAACACGGAGAGCCTCCCATAGTTTCGATAGTTTGATGCTATACTGTCTTAACATATGGTATATATGGTATTAATATACTATCAATATATACTATCAGTATATTATCAATATTATATCGATATACTATCAATATACTATCAATACACTATCAATATACTATAAATATACTATCAATATAATATCATTATATGGTATATAATGTTGGGCAATGGTATGGTATAATGGTATGAACATGTGGTATTGATGGTAGTATACTATCTTAATTAATATCTTAATATGGTATATTAGAGTGATCCCCAAGGATAGTACAATACCCAGGATAGGGTCAAAACCATCATAGGGTCAAAACCATCATATACTATCAATCCCATACGTTGATCTTGAGAACATCAAACATGCTGATGATGGTTTATACTATGAATATGGTATATGAATGATACCTATGTCACTTAGTTCGAAATGTTATTAAGAACAAATTTTGTACATCACAAACAATAGTAATGGTTTTTTGGTGGATGTATTGACAACCATCACAAGTACATACAGTACAAATAACACAACATCTCAGTTTTTTACCATCTGGTTATTTAACATAGCCATGGAAAATGGTCCATTTATAGATGATTTTCCCATTAAAACCTCCATTTATAAGGGTTTTTCCATAGCTATGTTAAATAACCAGAGGGTAAATGTTTTGATCATTGTTGAGACACTGGAGGTGTTCCAGTGTCGAGATCACCTTGCATTTTTTCGGTTTTCGGATGATCTGCTGAGGGTTTCTTGCATCTCAAAACACAGCCGAACACAGGGAACCCCATGGAAAATGACGATGGGAACCCCATTGGGAAAATCAGTTTTCCGCCGTTTTTAGGGATTATACAATGAAAAAACATGTTCAGAAGTACATCCCACCGAATCCAATACACACATATACAAACTGCAATCTCATCAACACCCATAGAGGGCATTTTTTTGGCCTCAAAACAAATCCAACAAAAAAGTCTCAAGTAGAATCCCCTCAAGTCCCAAAAAACGACAAAAATCCAGACCCCGGACTCCCTGACCCATTGGCGGCAACCAGCAAACTTCGAGCAGTGGATCTAGGGCAAGTGGAGGCCTCTCTGCATCTTCATCCCCCCCCTTTGGGGGGTGCAATCTTGTTTTCCCAGTTTTTTTTTTTGGGCTTTTGGTTTCTTGATTTTTTGGTTGTTCTTTTTTGGTTCGTTGCTTTTTTTGAAGGGCTGGCAAAAAAAAAAGTTGCAGGACATAACTCTTTGTCTTTGTGCTTTGGGTCTGTGGTTTCATTAGAAAACCATGAAAAAAACATTGAAAAACACAGGTATCATGGGGGGAAGCTTACGGGACATGGACTGGGCAATTTTGTCTTGGATTTATTGTTCAACAACTGCTAAAAGACTATGCAAAGAAACATAGGCAGCCAATGAGTTTGTAGGACTGATTTTGATAATGACATTGTTGACAAACCCTTCAGTCAAGACATGTTCAAATAATTTAAATTATTCCCTTGAAAGGAGGGATGCATCTCTTTAAAATGAGTGCTCCCTTCAACATGTGCATTTCTTTTCAAATGGTAGAGAATTCCATTGACGTACGACGTATCATATCTATTTCTATATCAAAAATGAATCCTCTTGCGCACGCAATGCCATTTTCACAATATTTGCAATTTCTATGAATAACACATGGTAGATGTAAGATGATGTAAGCATGTAAAATCTGCCCGTCAAAATCGCACATCACTTCTCCGAATATGTCAATGGATTGGTTTGTTGGGGAAAATCTTCACCGGAAACCATAGATTTTCCCATCTGGTTGGTGGTATACCTACCCCTCTGAAAAATATGAAAGTCAAATGGGATTATTGTTCCCAATAATATGGAAACATATAAAATGTTCCAAACCACCAACCAGCCATTATTTTTTGGGGCTTTCCTGTAAATGTCCCCTTAAACCAATCCATAGAATCACCGGCCACCAGCCTCGCTCCGTTCCAGGTCCCGCAAGATTCGAGATAAGGCCTGCACGGGAGTTTTTGGTGAAAGTGTTGCAATTGGTGAACAAAATTGACTTTTTTCAACAACATGGGTTTGTCTGAAAATAGGGTATATTCCCAATTATAGCCATTTAATAGGGATAATGATCATTAACCATTGGGTTTAGGGGTACACTATTTTCAGACACACCCACATCAACATATAATAATTATGTTGTTTGATGTTTTTTTTTTTCGAACATATGTGGTAAACACAATAAACATCAATAAACCAGACCTGATTTCACCAGGAATGATGAGTGGCATAAAATATCAAAACATCCAAATTTGGGGTTATTGGCTTCACCCCATGTGATGACTTTGATGGAGATGGACGAATCTGCATTGTGCTTGATGACAGATGTGTTTGATAACATAAATCGTTCACATGCTATGACAAATTTGCCGAGCTTGATACTCGCTCAAGGACATGATTCCATATGATTCCCATATCAGGCTTCACAAAGACCCATGTCAATGCCATATCCTGATCTATTCTGGCTTATTTAAAAAAACCTGTGCTTACAGTAGCTCGTGTATCGGTATTGGTTGTGATTCTAAAACCATTCTTAGCATCCTCCCAGTCTCCCAGTCATGGGCATGAAAAGTAGGGTTGGGTTCTTAATGGCCGACTGGCCGAAACCCAATGGTTGGGAATAGCTATCTTTCCATTGGAATGGAACCTAAACATGACTCTGCCCGACCTGTCACATCCGGCGGAACATCAAGTTGTCTAATGTTGCTTGGTAGACGTCAGTTGAATCCTCATCTGGTTGGTGGTATACCTACCCTGAAAAATATGACTGTAGTCAGTTGGGGCCCGGTGACATTCCCAACTGAATGGAAAGTCATAATCCAGCCATGTTCCAGTCACCACCAACCAGATATAGATCATGGGAAAGCACCATTTTATAGCTGGGTAAATCCACTATTTCTATGGTGATTTTCCACACACTTTTCCCGAGATCTTCATTTTTGGCGATGGAATCAGGTGACCAAATCCCCTCCTTTCCAGTCGAATCTCCAGCCTCGGCGTCCCCCCGCGCGGCGGCACGGTGTAAGCCATCCGCCCGAACCTGGAACCAGCGAGGGATTTCTGTTGGCCTTGTGTTTTTTCTAGCATTTCTAGGGTTTCATAGGGCTTCATGGAATAATTCCATTGGGATTTGTAGAAGTGACTCTATTTTTCTGGATTTGATGGGGTTCTGGAAGGGCTTTGTGAGGGGGTTTTACTGCCTTTCCCCCTTTCTTTTCTTGGCAAAGAAGCATCACCCAAAACAGTTGAAGGTTTACCTAACAAATTTTGGGACTTTACTTCAATGGAAACTCTAGCTTGAGAATGGGATTGAACCGAGAACATGTTGAATGTCCTAATCATCTTAATGTACCAAAGACTTCCTTCAAGGATATTGGCATTCTAGTTTGTAAAATATATTCCTGGTTGGTGGTATACCTACCCCTCTGAAAAATATGAAAGTCAGTTGGGATTATTATTCCCAATATGTGGAACAATAATCCAAATGTTCCAAACCACCAATCAGATTCTAATTACATGGTATCCTCTGGGGGATTCCAACAGAACCATTCTATCCAGCTCCAAAAACACAGAACGGGATTTCATCAAGCACAATGGATGGATTGGGGAGTCTTGACAGCAAATACAATGATATGTATAGTATATATATATACATACATATATAATAACTGCAATAACATAAACACATAGTCCATTATGAATGTGTTTAAGACCATCACAGCCGACATACTGGAGATTTTCAAGTCTTTATATTGGTTCGCCTATGGTGTATTTTCCTGTCGTCACTTATGGTGTGGACACGGCGATGAGATCACTACTTAAATCATCCAAAAACGGATCGATGGCCAATAACTTGAATGGTTTGATTTACACTACAGCACTCTTTGGTAATTTGACACGAGGATAGAGAAAAAACATCGACCTTAACTCCATTGCCTTGTTTTGTCTGAAGGCTAATGGCCCATCCTATCTTCAGAATGGAATTGGACACTTCAATGCTGGTCTGGATTCTTGTTTCCAGCCTGCATCATCATCCCCAACATCCCCAACATCAATGTTGCTTCCAACACCCCAAATACCAGGATGGTAGAGTCGCTCAATAGAGATGTCAATTAAACCTAACCGACAGTGGGAATCAGTTACTTTGCTTGGAACAACCCTGCCTGTCAGATTCTTCTATCGATTATTGCGTGTGGCTATCATTGTGGATTGACATATCAAATTCCCAGAGAAATCTGGGTCGAAAGCCCACCCGCAATACCCTCCATTAAATTAACATAGACCCTGGCAGTCATCGGGGTTGGAAGACTAGTTTCCATTAAAAAATGGTGATTTTCAGGGTCCAACTGTTTGTTTACCAGAGGGTATATCCCCATAATCACCTGTGCCACGTGAAGCTGAGCCAATGAGAAGGACATCAGGTGGTACAACAGGACCGAGGCAAAGCCCAGCAACAGCCTCGGATGCCGCTAGGGGAGATCTGCGGGATATCATTGGGATAGAACCTACATAATGACATAGATTGTATGTATGTATGTATGTATGTATGTATGTATGTATGTATGTATGTAGGTACTATACATGTAGGATATACCTGAGATATATGGAGATATGATATAATATGATATTTCAGATTACTCTGAGAAAATGGGATACGCTCTTGATGATCTTGATGCCAAGTAAAACTCATGCCTAGCCCAAAGCAAATTGACGGCCCAAATCTGCATGATCTGGGTCTAGAGCCTTGCATTAGCACGAGACACGAAAACAAGAGAAAACCGAGAGCATTTCACTGCTTTCCTGCTGTGGCCTAAAGAACAAAGAGTCTGGCAAAGGGCCACCAACATATGCTCTTGTTGGCCACGAAGTGACAATTCTATCACTCAAACTTGCTGGGTAGTAGCCGTGGCTTTCCTAATGGGGTTGCTAATGCAGCAGCCAATTTATGCCCCAATTCTATCATAGGAGAATAAAGTGGCTTCGCCTGAACATAGGGTACTCAATAGTCTACTCCAACATTTCATGGTTTATCAGAAGTTTATCAGAATCATTCCCATTAAACTAGCCAATCATTCCCATTAAACTAGCCATAAGTTGCCATAAGGAAAAGGTGTCCCCATATTCAGCCAGACATTTTCAGCCAAGCGCACAGAGAGTTGCGGCCATCGGCAAGGAAGAGCTGCAGCTCTCTCCAACCTAAGTTCTTTCGCTGAGACCCTTGGTGGCCCCTCGGATTACCCTTTGGTAATCGTGGCAATTGAAAATCCTACTCCACCAATGATGAACAAGTGCCATATAACTGATAAGGAATGGTTGAAACATGTTGAAACCAGTACACGCATTGATGTATATATATATACATATGTGAATTGGTTGTTATAGATGATTATGAACCTACCTGGTCTATTGGTCTTAACGTGGTTTAAACATGTTCAACATGGTTAAACATGTTAAACCTCAAGCCCCATCGTCAGATGGTGAATCACCCAGAAAAACTGGGGCGATGGCTTCGCACGGGTCCATGCCTGCAATGCAGGGTGCAGGGTGCCATGAACATGTCACGAACGGCGGACCTAGCGATGATATCTTGACGCGTTTTCCAACCCCGTGGAAAATCCCATGCTTAGAGAAAATCGCCTGGTTTTCCCATGGTTTACCATGGTTTCCCCGGATTTTCCTGGCGAAATTTTCGCGGGTTTCAACCCCATCCGACCCAACCTCGGTTCGGAGGACCAAAGTCCAACCTGACCACGGTTACCTCCACTTCAACACCATCCATTCAACAGATGGTACCTGTACTTGGTTGGATATCCGTCTAAGCACCGTAAAATTACACGTTGGAGCCATAACCAGTGGCTGCTCATTTTGGCTATCGCACAATCCAATTCTGGTAAGAAATCATGTCTGCGTTCCTGCAAGAAAACATTTTGCGGTTCAACTATGCTAGAGCTGACAAAAAATCGAATCAACAAGAATGTTCACACACTTTCAAAAAGAAAAAGGACCCAAACAAAAGCATCTCATTTTTTGAGATAACACATCTGGAAACGACACATAAAAAAACAACAGGGGTAAAACATCAAGCGTATTCAACTATAAAACCCCAGGAAAAGAACAAAATATCAAACACCTAAGTAAACTAACACTAAACTTTGGTAGTCCACAAAAAAATGCCGTTTACGATGATTTCGCACAAAAACGAAAGGATTAAACTACCCAGGACTACCCATCCAAAAACAGAATGGATTTCTTGGATTATGAGTGATCATCCCCATGAAAATGGTAATTAGATATACAGTATATTAAATGGGGATGATCATTCATAATCCAAGAAATCAGAATACACCATTAAAAGTCATCTAATTTAATTACCATTTTCAGATTATGGATTATGGTTTTTGTCCATTTTCAGACACAGCGAAGTAAACTGACTTTCACCAGGAGATACCCCCGGGCTGCTTTTTGCTTCCTGAGCTTCCAAACCATCCACATCCCTGCACCCAGCATGGCCGCAAGCAGTTCCAGGTGCCGTAGCCAGGCTAAGCGTCGAGTCACCTGGCAACTAAGCGCCACGGGGCATGTCCTCCAATGATTCCTTGGAAAAAACCATTGGAAAACAAAAAGCTAGTGATTATGGTGATTCTCCTTGGTGATGTTTTTGTGATTATGGTGATTCCTCCTTGGTGATTTAGTGTGATACCTGGAGATCATTGGAGTCCCAACCAAAAACCACCAGACTTTCAAAAAGGAGTCCGGTGGTTCACCATGAACTTCACCCACCAGAGCGGCCCTTGGGATTCAACATTCGATATTTTCCATGATATTTTCCATGGTGATTCCACATACCCTCTGGTAAACATACAAAAAGCTATGGAAAATGGCCATGGAAATAGTGGATTTTCCCATTAAAAATGGTGATTTTCAATAGCTTTTTGTATGTTTACCAGAGGGTATCCAATCATTTCCATGGTGATTCCACAATCCATGGTTTATTCACCAAAATTCAAAAGAAAGGTGACTCACTGGAAACAAACATTAGATAAAAACCAGTGACATCCTGAGTATTTTTTGTTGACCAAAAGAAAAGGTGATTCACTGGAAAAAGAAATTGGATAAAAACCAGTGACATCCTGAGTATTTCTTTGTTGGAGGAGATTGGAGGGAAATTCTTTGGATTTTTTTCAACATATTCACTGAACTCTGGAAATGATTGAATCATTGGAAGATTCACCACAAAAAAAAAATGATTCAAATGGCGATTCCATACAATAAAGAAAGCAAGAGGTCACATATAATTCACTCATCGGGTCGATATGACCAGCAAAGAAAAGGGCAATGGCAAGCTGGGCCAAGAATGATGGAGATGTTTTTCGCAACGACAAATTGGACACAAAATAACTCTAGGAAGATTCTTGGCGCAGCCAAAACTAATGGGGGATATCACAAACACAACTTGCCATGGATGGATGGTGTTTCAATATGTTTCAACTAGTATAAGTTCAAGGTCTGGACTCTTCATTGAAGCCGGGCAACATTAAAACTTCAGGTCTGACGCGGGCCAGATAAAATAGCAACCTGATAGACAAATATCGGGGATGGGATAGATGATATAATATATGGTTTTCCTTGACAAAAGGTTTCCAACTATGGTTAGTAACCACATATATATATATATATATTTATGGTGTACTTTATTTGGATAATATATTTGGATCTAATATCTTTTTTGGGGGTTACTAATGGATCTAATGGTTACTATATATCTATCTATCCAAATTAAGATCAAAATTCTGTGGAATCTCTGCACCACGGACCTTTCGCGCCCTGATGCTCCATGCGGATGCATCCACAAACCTGATGCATTGACTTCGATTTTGTCAGCTGGCGAACTTCGAAAAAAGGATGGAAACATGTAAACATGATGTAAACATGGTGGTAGATTGTGGTAGTACCATAAGCACCGCAAGAAAAGATAAGAAAAGGTAATAAAAAATTCGGAAAGGTAGAAGTCTAAACTATGGACAAACACCATCGCCAGCTCGCAGTGTGGCAAGTCATCTGCTCCTTTTCTATTGTTCAACGTTGAAATCCAATGGCTCCATTTCAACATGGCTGTCACTGAAAATCGTCTTAAAACCATGGCTTTTAAAATTACTTCCATGAAGTCAATTGGATCATGAGACAACCTTCACCGAGATCAAGACTGTTACCATCTGGTTATGACTAACAGTTTGTCATAGAAAATCATCATTTCTAATAGGTAAACCATCTATTTCTATGGGCCATGTCCCATGGCTATGTTAAATAACCAGAGGGTGACTATTAACATCTGACCTAAAGACATCCCGATTGAAACGGAGCGAACGCCTGCACAAAGGGAACCTTGGGCTCTCATGCGCAGCGAGGTCATTTGCAGCCGCCCCAGGCTGTGAGCTGATGGGACACAGAGTTTGCTACAGTCAAATACCTATAAAATCCGATAATAGGTGATTTTCCATTGCACATTGTCCAACTTACCACGGTGTATTTGGAGATAGTTCTTGCAGAGTTCGCACAAAAATTAAAACTCTTTGGTCCACCATGGGGATTCTTCCGCTGGGGATTTCTTCCCGCCACCAACCCTGTTCCGCCAACTACTTCTGGGTTGGGTTGCTACTGGACCTCTCTACTCACCAGGTGGGGATCCAGGAGATGGGATGCGTTTTACTTGTCGCTCAATAAGTCGTCAGAGCCCCGAGTGGAGTTCTCTCTTGGTCGTCTTGGTGCATCCCAACCAGGATCTAAAGCTGAATAGTTCCAGATGATATTCCCAGCAGTTCTGACATGTTCTGCCCCCCTAAAAATCAAGAACTACAACTGGCCATAACTGGCCCATTGGCAGCTCACAGCCTCGTGGAAAAAAAACATGGCTTCCCCTTCTGGGGTCCGAGAGATCCACGCGGTGCGCACAGCACAGCGGTTGAAAAAAGGGGTCTGAGACCCTACTGGGGAAAGACATGGGATGCATTTTGTAACAGTATACTACCTATCTGTGGGGAATTTATATGCAAAAATTATATATATGTATATATTATAATTATATAATATATAAAGTTACGTGCGTATTATATATATATGAAACACATTGTATTTAATGTATATGGGACCCATGTGCCCCATGTGTGTATGCAAAAAAAACACGGGCAGCTATGACCATGGGGAACTGTCATCCCATTGCGAGATCACATCACTGGAGAGTTTGTTGTGTAACAAAGCTGTTTAAAACGACCGGAATGGCGGAAGATCACTGTTCAAAAAAATACAAAACATCACAAGACTATATATAAATATTGTATAAACGCTTAGGCCACTTTATCTTTAAGTGAAAATGCGGAAAGCTGTGAGATTGCTGCAAGTGGCGAAGAATATGGGGACTGCCATCGCAATGTGCAGCAAGTTTTCTGGGAGATTTTGGCATTCGTACACTTCACATCTTTCATACCAAGGGATGCCTTACAGGTTTTCCCAATCCATTCAGATGGTTCACCAACCGCTCCACGGCAATGCACTAACTGACGTCTGGCAAACCAAGACGTCCTAATCATGTCGCACTAACGGATGGCACCTCAGGGATCAGACCTGGGACCTGGCAGTTCGACTGGTTCACTGTTTTTCGATGGGGCGTGCCTCTGACCTGAGGGAAACACGAAGCACTCCACCCAAAACAAAGTTCTGAATCACATGTGTTTATCGTCTATGTCAGTCTATGTGTTAAATTGTACGCCTTGTTCTTGTATGTTCTTGTACACTGTGTGGAAATATATGGGTTTATGATGATTTATGTAACAATGGATCGACAGTATACCCCAAATCCCCCGATGAATCATCATATTCTCCAATAAAAATCAACAAACACATGATTTTTAAGCGTGATTGCCCCAAGTTTCTCACAGCTACATATTCTGTACTCTATCTGAATCGCATCAAAGGAGCCGCAAAGCTCAAGGAATCACTGCCTGGATATGGGGAACTTGACATCCCCGAAAGGATGGCCATCAGATCACAGCATCAGTGACTCAGTGGTTCTGTTGGTAACACACTGCAGACCTGCACATTTATGCAATTGGCACGTTCTTTTCCACCATCCCAGATATCCCAGTAATGCTTCGGATGCTGAAACTGCTAGCCATGTTGTCCTGAAGTACAGAATTTTCAGGGGTCAACTAGTCTTTTTCCGGCAGTATTCCGTCATGAAGTCAGCATAAAGTCAGCGTTTCATCCCTTTAACCTTTAAAACTTAAAACTCTTAAAGCTATTGTTGGAAATGTGTATCCTGCGAACCAAATATCACCAGCCCATCATCTTGTCATGTGGAACTGATATAAATGAGAAAACAGGGCTTACAGCCAACCAGAAATGCACGGTTCCCCCCAAAAAACCTCCCGTAATCAGACAGGATGGAAAATTGCCCCTTGATAAACGATTCACCTATTGAGCATGGTCCAATGGTGGTTTTCCATAGCTATGTTAAATTATACCAGAGGGTATGTCAAAGTCTCTAATCAAGATTGTCGCAGGAAAACTCAAAAACATCAAAGTCATAAAAACTGCAAGACTTCGGCACCCAGCCTGCGCGGCCATGATGATTGCAGATTTCCGTGCCTTGTCGTTGGCACCATTGGCACCTTGACCCTCGGCCGAAGCCAAGCGTAAAATCCAGGGAGGAAGCCTCAGGCCAGGCGGCCATGGGGCAGTGGGTTTCTCCCATCGTCCAAGATCCTGAAATCCAGGGAGGAGTATACTATACCCATGACGGATCCATGGTGCTGGTATATATGGTAACATAAAGAGGGTAGATTGATGGGATCCATGGCACACCATATATAGATAGATAGATAGCAGCACCATGGATCCTATGGGATATGCTCGATCTGGAGACATCAAATGAAGAACAGAACTGTCTTTGTTTCAACAAGTTGACCTGTCAACCGAGCTTTGAACCATATTGGATAGGCTGATAGTTGCAAGCTCACCAGCATTCCATGCTGTTCCCTCACTGGGTGGCAGTTTCAACCAATCCGAGTCATGTAGGCATCTAATCATCCTGAGCTTCACCCCCATTGGTGAAACCATTCGCAGGATCATTGACCCCAAAATGAAACTCCCAAGCAATGGTCAAAAATGTTGTCTCATCCCCTTTCACATGCTGGTTCTAAAAACATATACATTGATTGACATTGATCATACAATCATCAAATATCATCAATTCCCGATGACGAATGGCAAACTGGCAAGAATGACCAATAGGAAAGATAGGAAAGCCCAAGCAAACCAACATATCGCCAAAAATCGCCAAAAAACGTCACACCCAAGGCTTCACAGAAGGACTTGCAGAAGCTGCAGCAGTTGTTCTTCAATACATCCTGAGTGCGCTGCCGAGTCCAGATGAATCCTGAATCCATGCTGCCTACAGCAATGACCAAATTTATATATGTTTATAAATACAGTACATTATTATACCAGATTATTATACATCTTTGTAATGTGTAATATGGTAATGTAATGTACAGTAAAATGTATACAGAGAGAGCATCTTTTTGGCATAGCAGGTGACTCTTCCAGTTCATCCACTCACGGACACCAAGCTTCGTATCGGCACCCTGGCCACTCGTCCTTCAACTTCGAGATCTTCTCGGAGATCTCGTTTTCTCCTGGGCAACGTCGAGTCACTGGATGTCCATGGCATCCATGGATGGTTGAGATATGTTGAGATATTGAGTCCTTTGCCGGGTTGTTGGATTGCAGGATATGATTGAACACCAGCTCACAGCCCGAAATTGCAGTTAATGATAGCTAATGTCTCCCTGACTACCACTACCGGCACCTTTTGAACAAATGATGTCTTTTCTTTCGTGTGCAGTGACTGGACAGAACACATTGATTGAATCCCCGCAGCCAAATGGATGTCCGCATCTTTTTGGACATTGGGGCACTCCAAAGCCATTGCTCTCCCCACGAGTTACATATCAAAACCTGAAAGAAAAAACCATCGAAATCCATGCCATAGAAATCCCCACATCCCAGGAGTGCCAAGGCTCGCAAGGAAGTGTATCCAAGTTCAATGGCATCTCCTTTTGGCTCGGAGTCTACGAAACCACCCATGACTGGGTAAAGATGGTGGAAGCTGGGGCTGGTTTATTATGGGTTTTACCATGTTTTACCCACAGTGCAAATGTCCCAGAGCCCAAACACATCCAACATAGTCTGAAAGCGGCGTCTAACTGCTGACTTGCGTCTGGAAGCTTTGAAGATTAAGTTCTGAAGCTCCCTGTCATGATAGAAGCTGTGTGTTATGTTCATACCATTTCATACCCATAAGCCGCATCCCTAACGCTTGTGGACGTGGCACGATAGCTGTGGGGCTCGCAGTGCGTCGGTTTGCACTCGAAAACGCCTGGCGAAATCAGATCCGTTTGAAGTACAAGAGGTGAGTCATTGAAAATGAAAGAAATTGAATGAACATGAAACCTTGAAAGCTAGTTTCAACTGTCTACAATTTCCTTGAAACATCTTGAAACACTTATCACTTATCATCCAATAATAATGTATCTATCTATATAGCCTAATTGCACCAGTCGGGCGTCATGAAGTCAATGTCTACTGTCTCGCGGTTTGAAGCCAGCACAGAGTTCAGGAATGTTCAGGAAACTGGCAGATGACGGCTGAAGTGAAGAGCAGCTGTGGGATTCTGTTCGATTCCCATCTTTCCTGGATTCTCTGAAAATCTCCCACAACCCGTTCCTTGATACTTCAAGATGTTTCTGGAACTTTCCATAACTCTTACCCTCCAGTAAATTCACATAGACCCTGGTAGTCATCGGGGTTGGAAGATGAGTTTCCTATAGTTTCCTCTAAAAATTGGTGATTTTCAGGGTCCAACTCTTAATTTACCAGAGGCTATATCCAATGTTTCCCCATCGAATCCCCATCGAATCCCCATCGAATCGCGCACCACTGCCCAGCTCGTTGAAACCATAGCTCCACTCGGAGCCTCAGGATGAACCCTCACTGCCCCATACTGTTCCCCGGATATTTCCCGGAAGATAAACAAAAATCACATCCAAGGTATCACGGGGATCTCGATTTTTTCCCTGACACCCTGGAAGAAGTGGTGGATTTATGGGGACATGAAAACAACAGTTAGGGTTTATGAGCAACATGAGCAACATGTTAAGATATCATTTTATGATGGTGTAACGGGATATGTTTTGAATCAACCTACTATGATTTGGGTGTATCTGAAAATGGTGGAGTTCGGAGTTCAGAATTAACCGGCAAAATTAATATTAATAAGCATCCCCGAATTAATCTACACCCACATTCCAAAAAAACATGGCAATACTACTTTGGGTTGGTCCCTCCCTATTAGAATTATTAAATCAACATGTGCGACCCCCCATTAAACAACACCCTTCTCAGAAATCCTAATTTGTGGTAGTCAGGATATTTGATTACAGTAATTGGTTTTGATTGTTTTTTAATGAGTGAAAAAGTAATGATTTGACGGGATGTCCCATGCCCAATCTCAGCATCTCACCCCATTGGCAGGGAGGTTGTGTTTTGTCTAATGTATGACAAGCCCTAGTCTTTTTTTTTGGGGGGGGACTCTTACCTTCTAGGGCAGGAAGGGGGTTATAAATACGAACTTGGCATTATTTACCTATATGATTATATGTCTATGAGTGCCTAATATTTACCAACATTTGCTCATTATTTTCTTCAATATAATGTTGTTTACCAATGTCTACTGTGATAATTGTGTACATTTTTTTTGATATTATAATGATCATGTTTAACACATATTTACCCTCTAGTAATTTAGCATAGCTATTGAACATGGCCAAAGAAATAGTGAGTTTTCCCATTAAACATGGTGATTTTCCATCGTTATGTTAGTTTACCAGAAGGTATCAATATATTTTTCAAAGATAAAATCAGTCACCTAGCAACTCAAAGTGAACAAACAACCCGGGCTCGGCTCGGGATACTGATGCTAGGGATGACGAAGCCAACCGATACGTCCCAGGATCTGGAGAAACACAACATCCAATGCTCCCAATGCTATCCTAAAAACCTCTGGCCTGAATATCCGGTATTATACATATTATAAATATATAATTATATATTATTAGATAGATAGATTCATTCATATCCCAATAGTGTCCCATTTAATATCGCATAAAGAATCAAACACAAACACATCAGTCAAGGTTGATCTGCGATCAATATCCGTCAAAAAAAACACAAAGTGTGCGCCTAGGTTCTGGCCTCGGACACTTTTCCTGTAAATTTCCACACCAAGTGGCTTTTGTGACATGTCCAAGTGTATTTGTCCTTTTGATCTTTTTCATATGGTGTTCGTCCTTTTTCTTCTTTGTTCCATTTCTCATGTGTTCATCATTGTTTTCATCCAATTTTCACAGCAACCATTCTCACTAGGGATTTACATCATATGGCTAGCAAAAAAACAAGAATTTGAAACGGAACATGCATTTCTCCCAACGGCAACGCATGTCGATGCGCAAACCGGCAAACTCCTCAATTATATACCTTCCCCAAGCATAATAATATATGCATCTAATCGATGCGCTTTCCATTGCTTACAGTATCCTATATATCCCAAATAAGATCCCGGTGCTCCATACAGCACACTCTGGGACTTCCCAACCATTGATTTCGATGCCCACATGGAAGTGGCCAGTGCCCAAGGGCTTTGTGTCGCCTAGGGGAGCTTCAGTGGTGATTTTTCAGGGTGATTTAACCATTAACCATTGTTGATCTCATGGGATATGTCTTGGGAATACCATGGGAATAATCAATTAACCATCAATACCATGGGATTTAACCATCAATAACCCCATCCATTTTCATGGTGAATGGTGATCACTGGAAATTCATGGGAAAAAATCATACGGAACCAAGGATGGGATTAAAACAAACACAGCAAAATGTACTGTATAATGAAGCATGTGTTTCAATGAAATGCTATATTACATCAATATGATAATATGATATTAGAATTACAATATATTCGATTTGATTATATTTGAATGTTCGTAGTAATTACCAACATTAAAAGACTGCAATAAAACCCTGGGAAAGGAAGCGACAACATTGTTACAATGCCATCCCCTCAGGGAAGTTTTCCGTGATTTTCCAGAAGAAATAACCCATCCAATTCCAGACCGATGTCACGGGTACCATTGGGTACCACATTCTACTGCTTGGGTACACCCTGGCCGATAAAGGTACATAAGGTACTATACAACTTCAACGACCTGACCGTAGCCCGACACTTTTTTCAATAGCTATCCAATGCGGTCCATTTCGGAATCATTTGGGACATCATTCATTCCCATAGGATCCATGTATGCTATATATGGTAACATTTACCATCCATATACCCCCAATGTTAGCATATATACCATACATGGATCCTATGGGATAGGGTACCCATCTGATTGATCCAGCGGTTGATCATCAAATTGAAGGCCCTTGGAGGCGCCATTTCTAACCTCGGAACCCGGGCCTTCAATGCTCCCTGCGGCAGCCATGTCGTAGACGTGCAGGGTGACTGCCTTTTTTCTGGCCGCGAGGCTCACAATTCTATGGAATTTCCTGAGATACGACTGGAATTCATGGAGTATTACCGTATTACTGTATTTCCTTCTGGTAATTTCTGACATATTGAAAATCACCATCTTACATAGGCAAATCATCTATAAATTGAACCATTTCACATAGTATTTTGGGAACCAAAATAAGGTTCTTCAACAAATGTTGGTGGCGATTCATCACCTTTTATCATGCTTTGGGTTCAGCCCAGATTCAACCACAGATTTTCACATCTAATTCATTCGTCATTTATAAAACTTGGGAAAACCATGGGAAACCAATGATTTGGTGGTCCCCGAACCGCCAAATTGAAACATCTATCAACATCCCATGTTCCGGCAGCCCGTTCCGCCGTTGAAAAAAGTTGTTGGCGCCTCTTTCCGCCTAGCCACCACCTGTGGAGACACCAACAGAATCGTCTGGTCCAAGAGTTTAAGTGGAAAAATGAAAACAACAAACTGCTTTCAGCTAAGACCCCCCAAAAAGCATGCGGAACCTGGCGGAACCTCCTCAACCTTCCCACCCAAAATGGGAAAGGTGTCCTGCGAATTTCACTATCCCGAACAGCTAGCAACAAAAAGATCACGAAACATTGACGAAGTGAAGTGACTTGTTCGATCTTGTTCAGATTTTTGGTATTCACCACAAACCATTCACCACTAACTTATATATATTTTTTTGCAATGAAGTGGTGAAGTAGCCGATGATTATTCACCACTAGCATACCACTGCCACTAAGTGCCCATAACTCCCATCGCCTTCGCAATGGCTTCGAGCCAAATGGCAATCTTTTCCTGGGTAAAGAAGCGGCTACTTGTCGTCGCTCTCCACTGGAGATGCCAAAAAAAAAGTGTTTGGATTTGGATGGGTGTTTGACTATCATGATTGCATGACCCACCTGCAAGAAAAAACACTCATTTTACTCATTTTATTATTCCACCTGCAAGAAGAACTATATATTTACTATTGTTTCATCCTTTCAGTGTCAGCAAGTTACTTTCCTTAAAGATTATGAAAGATTGGGACCTGTAACCTCAATGGGTTCCTGAAAGAATCCTGAAGGGTACCCATCCTTCCCCTTGTTACGTAGTACATGATGTACGCCTGGAAGATTCCTGTCCGTTGGGAAAATGACATGCTGAAACCGTCGGAATTAAACCCCACATCCACCCTAAGAACTATCTGATAGTACACATTATACTACATGATGATATTGACATGGCATCTCATATATTAAACCGATATCAATTCCCCACAGACGTATCAAATCGTATCAAAATAGGTGCGTTCCGAGGCGCCTCATTCTCTGCCTCAGCATGTGCAACAGTGACGAGACAAACCTATGGAATCTGAAACTTCCCCACAATGTCCAAGAACCTGATGAAAATATGAAAATCGCAGAAATTTCTGAGACATTCAAAAAAGAACTACAGTTTCAAACTGAATCCCCACATGACATAGAGATCGACCCCAATTTTGTGGCCATCATAGGATCCCACGAAAGCACCGTGCCGTTCCAGGCACGTCAAAGTAGGAGAGTTTCCGTCCCTTCCCAGCCATAGGATTGGAGTCCAGGACGAAGCCTAGGGATGCGCCAAAAAACCCAGCGACTTCAATGGGGTACCCACGATTTCTGGATTTCGAAAATGATCTAAATACTAAACCATATACCAAATCCACCCAATTTGCCCATTTGCAGGTACTTCTAGTCAAACCCCTTTTCAAAGGAATGTTGTGTTTTTTTGGGCTGTGGCGCTTTTTTTTTGCCACATCTCAAAAGGTGGTTTCCTCCAGCAGAAACCGAGTTCCGAGGCGCCGCAAGGTTTGTCCGACTTGTGTTTCACGGCCTAAACAGTGGAGGCTTTCAGGTGATTTCCATCAGGAAATCTTTATAAAGGTGCAAGTCTTAAACACATATCACTTAGTTCAAAGAAGTTTGAAGGATTTAGATTTTTTTGAACCCACCCAAATATATGCATGGTGTTAAATGTCAAATCATCCCAAATTCGGTTTGAAGATAAGGAAATACACACCAGCCAGACCCCGCGACCAATCCCAAAGACGATTTTCCAAAAACCCTGGGATCCAAAATGTATGACCCGTTCATATACATGTTCTATATATACAGTGTTGGTATAACTTAAACCATCCAATTCTAGTGTGCGAATCCGAAAGGAATACGAAATCAGAAGATGTTTTTTTTTTGTTTTTCGAATGTCTTGCTCCAAGAACACACCATCAAACGGTTGATCTGTCTGGGTTCATTTATAATGTATATACATATTTTTCTGGGTTCATTCTGTTTACATCCTCAGTATTTGGAGTGTACTTGCTGTTGGAGTCTCAAACCCTAAATGCCCAAATTGATTGACCTCATCCAACTTTAGACCCTACATTGGTTACGGCTGTTCGGTATGCCGAGAACGGTCTTTGAAAAAGGCCATCAAACCCCAACATGGGCCCCTTGTATTTGTATGTTTTTCTTACATTAAGTTACATTCACTATATTTGTGGCTATATGTATGTTACATTCATGCTATAGTTAGATGGCTATAGATGGCAATAGTTTCTTTCCCAACTTCTGGTTGTATCTCCAACTATAGTCTAACAGTCTAACTATAAAACTGGCTATAGTTGCCATTATGTATCCATCTATATACAAGGGGCCATTAAAAAAATACATAGCCATTACATTGTCCATCTCTAACTATAGCCATAGCCATCTATAGCCATAGCCGGCCATGGGCCGGGCCGTAACCGCCTTTTTGCGTCCCGCCCTGGCGGCCTCGCCGGGCGCATCGTGGCAGCTGAAGCGCGCGGCTTTGGCGTCGTAGCTCAGACGCTCAGCGCTCTGCCGCTGGCTGAAACGCTCCTGGGGCCACTGGGGATGTCGGCTACCATGGATGGTCCCAAAAAGTCATAGATCCCCAAAGGAACCACAAGGAACCATGGAAGTTCCAATACTATAGGTTGGTCATTAACTATACTACCCATGACGGATCCATGGTGCTGCTATGTGTATATATATATTGGTAACATGGATCCCATCAATATACCCCAGTCATGTTAGCATATATACCAGCACCATGGATCCTTTGGGCTATAGGTTGGTCATTAAAAATTAGGATGATGACTGGGGTACCCCCATGTTTTAGGAAACCTCCACTGGGGATGCATAAAAAAAATATCTAATGGAATAATTTTTCAGTATCTCCAGTGAAATGGGGATGAATATTATGGGGACATGTAATAGATCTATAGGATAATATCACACTTACCACTGGTTGGAAATAATAGATCTATTAGGATACATAATAGCAATCTATAACTGGTTGAACATCTAATAGATATAAGATAGGAATCTAACAAGGACAACTAGAAAATGTACGATATCCATAAATCCAGAAAATATTCCTAAGGAATTTATAATGGAATGTCTAATGCAATATATTTTTCATGGGTTGACATAGCTGCTTAGTTTTTGTGGGGCTATCACCCCTTGTAACTCCCAGGTTTTTGGGTTGGAACTTTCACAGGAAACAACAAATCCAAGGTTTCCGTTCCAGAAACCAATACGTTGAACAATTATGTGAAATACCTGAATATACCCACTGAGATGAATCGGTTCTACATACATATATGTTTATATATATTATGTATGTGTATATATATATCATACGTATATATATATATATCATGTGTATATATATATATTATATGTATATATATATACATGGGGATGCACATCCAAGTAAGTCCATGCAATCATAATTTGATCAACCATGTGTTACATCATATAACTTTACATGTCACGTGGCGAAATTACTGTACATGATAGGAATTTGCGAGATGCCCCTGACCATAATCTCTGACGGACACAAATCAAGAAGAAACATCAAACAAAATGGTTAGGACCTCATTGTTGTAACCCTTAAAAAGAACGAAACGCAATTCATCACTATTTAAGTCGGATCTTACTGTTCTATCTTTTTGCGGGATGGTATCAGTGGCTTTGAGAAAAGGGATCATCAGCAACCAGATGCTGGGGAATATCGCACAAGATCAACAGTTGTTACTTCCAAAAAACATGAGATACTCCAAGCAAATTGGAAAGAAGAAAAACACAGCCATCAATCATTGAACAAACAATTCACTACCTACACTAGCCTGAGAAGATAACTCCATTTGGAGCTCCAAGATGTCGCCAGAAACATCGACAAAACATAGCCAGTATCATCCGATAAGCTATCCCCAAGAGACCTTAAAGTCAGTAGATCGATCAACAAAGGTTTTCGACAGAGCAGTACTATATAAATACGGTCGCAAATTTAAGATGTGTATTGCAGTAATATGCCATATGTGTATATATGTGTATAGTATATTTACCAGTATTTACCTACATAACTACGGTGATTTTTTGTTTGTAAATGTTGGTATAAATATTCCATATTGATCTATGGAGTATTTGGGCAATATTAGAGGTGGACTCTGGGCCGGAGCGTAGCGAGCGTCGTCTTTGTACACGATGAGCTGCGTGTTGGTGAGGATGCACCAACCTTGACACAGCATCTGAAGTTTTTGAGACTTGGGGACAAGATGGTCAACACAATTACCTTCTGGTAAACGTTTACATATGGAAAATCACCATTTTATAGCTGGGTAAATCAACTACAACATAATATAACCACTTTCAATAGCTATGTTGAATCCGAACCCCGTGGTGCTGGGCCTGCTGGGCAGAGACGAGTGTGTTACCACTTTATAAACGTTAATTTCTCAACCATTTTTTGAAATGTTGTAACCATTTTATAAAAAATATATTACTGTATATTCAAGAAGCTGTTGAGATTTACATATATAACGTGGTGCTACAACTAAGATATATAACGTAGTAATATAAACATAAGAAATGGTATACTATGTCTAAACGTGGTTACACCACCACCTGCTGCTGGGCACCGTTCCACAGTGAAAAAAACTGACTCGCCATGGCGGGTACAGGCGGGTTATAACATGTTATAACCCACAAAATATTGTGATCCCTCTGGTAATCACATTGGTATCCCAGGGTTATAACCCAAGGTAACCCAAAATATAGGGCTTCACTTTGGATCCCTCTGGTAATTCAACATGGCCATTGAATCACATTGAACATGGCCATTGAACATTTCAAAGTAAACTATCCCATGACGGATCCGGCTGGTGCTGGTAGAAAAGGCTGCTAACATGGTTTTTTTGTTGATGGGATCCATGGCACACCATTTTTTTTCGCCCTCATGATGCTGCTTGGTGAATCGGGAAACCCCAACAACAATCACCAGCAAAAACCAGGTTTTGAATGGAACAATGTGACACATGGGTTTAAGGGGTTCATGGTTTAAGGGTCATTGAACCATATAATTTTAATTATATATATATATTTATTTGATCAATTGGTTAAACTAATATATAATCCCTTACAATCACCAATCAACAAGGCTATTTTTGATAGCACAAGTGCCACGGCACTTCAGCTATGCATCAAGGGCACGCGCTTGGAACGCATATCCGAAGACTGGACCACGTTTCAGCAGCTGTCCGTTCACGTGGCTCACATTGAGGTCAACCTCAGCTATAGCGATGGGTGAAATCCTGGAGGTTGAGCCCCAAACCATCCAAGTCAAAAGGGACCATTAGACCATTTGAGTATTGAAAGCCATGGTTTTAGTATTCAAACAACCATATATCTAATGTTTTTGTTGAACCACTATTTATATCTATTTATGGTTCAAGCATCGAAAATATGTTGGAGATACAATGGGTATTATGGGTATTAGCTATATATGTCAACCATACGGCGGTTTCCGAAATGATGGGGGGGGTACCCCAAATCATCCAAGTCATGGATGACCAGGTCGTATTTGAAACATGGTTCCTGTGGATCCGCCATGACTTAAGAAACCCTATAGCGTAGTCGAGGTAATGAAAACCCTGGTATCATGTAAGTATCAGATTGACTATTGGGGAAGCACCCCCCTAATAAACTATGGTTTATTAATCCGGGGTTGACATTACTAGGATTTTACGGTTATAATCTGTTATATATCTTTATGGAATTGCTATAGAACAAACAAATGAACTTAGTGGGTCCTTGGTGCCCTGTTCTTTACCAATACCAGTTTTTGTTTTTCCAGTTGTCGGTTAATTGATACAAAAAAGACCGAACAGTTGGACATCTGGAAATTCAGACGCAAAGACCGTGTACGGACAAACCTCAACAAACAACTGTTTCAGAATGTTCCACCTACTGGAACCCCGTCGGGCTTTCGACATTGGTCTATCTAAAGGACGAACCATCCATGGATCCAATTGATGGATGAACGAAAAAGCTGGGCACCACTGTAGCTGTGACGACGCAGTAGCCATACTTAATTCTTGATGGCTGCAATGGCTGCAATATGTATATATATATATATGTATGTGTATATATATATATATGTATATGTATGTGTATATATATATATATATGTATATGTATATTATATATATATATATCTTTGACCAGAAGAATACATGTCATACATTTATCTACCCATCAGTGTGGCTAGATTTTGACGATGTCTGATTCCCCAGTCTCAGCACAACGGAGACATCAAGGGTGCATCGGCTGTCAACACTCCGCTGCTCATGTGGCGGTCAAGAAATACTACTGAAACATATCCCATAGGATCCATGGTGCTGGTATATATGCTACCATTGGGGGTATATTGATGGTAAATGTTACCATATATAGCAGCACCATGGATCCTATTGGATATGTGCTTCTTGTTTTTTTAAAAAGAAATCTGGTTGCAAGTCAAATTTGAACCTCCAAATCGAGAGATTTTTCATCGGATCATTTTTTCACATGGATCATCCACGAGCAGCGTATGTCGATGTTGACCATACCCTCGAAAGCTCCATGGCTGGAAGATCCCCTGGTCCGATGATGTTCCCATTAATTATATAATTAACATCTCCATTTAGTTCTATGATTGTCCAATAAAACATCATATTTAAATCACCATCTTTGATAGGTAAATCATCCGGCGTTTCATTTTACTACTGCTGCCAAGCATGTTTCATCAAAAAAAACAACGAACCCGCCATAGAAAATAATAAGTTGTCTAATCAATTCATGATCAATGGGCCGTTTCCCATGGTGGGGGCCACCCTTCCAGGCCCCAATCAGGTGATCTGCTGGTTTGCTGGGGACCAATGCCGCTGGCGCCTCATGGGATTTGAGGTGCCAAACATGGGGCGTTCTGGAATGTGTCTTATCATGTTTTGTATGGTTAATATTACCCAAAGACAATTTTGTTGAGAAAATCCAGTTAGGACATAAACTCAGTGATCTAATTTCACGCTGATTTAACCATACATTAAACATGTCAATGGGGATATGTATATATGTATATTGGGATGTATCTATAACTATAACTAACCAACGATGTGATTCTTTGGGTTGTCTGAAAATAGGGGATTCCTCAAATCACCGTTTCCATGCGATGATAAAAACCATGGGATTTTGGAGGTTAAACCATCCGATGTTGGGAGATGACATGACACATTTTGACCCATACAGCCATCCGGGATTCCAATGGGCTTCCGTTGTGAACCCATGGGTTTCTGAGGACTTCATCAATTTGGGAAGGTCTGACCTTTCCCGGAGGAACTACATTTGAGGTGGGAAGTGGCTATATCAGCCACATCAGCCACTGACAAAATGATAACATATTGTATGTATCATGAATCATTACTATGGGCATGCAGTTGCTGCTGATGTCAATCTCCTATAGTATCAGCTAAGAACCAATTGCACAATTCTCATGGAGTAACTGCGTGACACTATTGTTTCTGCTTTTCATTAATTTTCTGAAACCACATGCCACATGGGGCGACACTGCACCAAGGCCCCAAAAACATCCATAAAGACCAATGTGGTAAACCCAACAAACCCAAATCGGGTGTGCAACCCTCCATAGCCTCACATCTCAATGTTATGTAAATTTCAGAGTGATCTTGGATGTTCATATATGTTCATCGATTTCTTCATCGATTTCTTCATGGATGTTCATTGATCTTCATGGATTTCACACAGGAATAGGGCCCCCAGGTTCCCCCATGGCCTCGTGCACTGGTTCCTCAAACTTCACTCCCTTGGTGCCCTGAGGTTGGACCTGAGCATCCAAACGATTGGACCTGGTGGTTTCATGGGATGTTCATGGGATGTTAAAAATCGGATAAATAAATATAATATATATGTATATGTATATATATATGTGTATATATATATTATATATATATATCATATGTCACATATATATAATATGATATAAATATATATATATATAGTAACAAACCAAAAAGGCTTAGGTAATCTTAGATCATCTTAGATCTCTGACAAGGAACAGAGGTTTCTGGGTTTGTTTCTGGTGCTTCTGCTGCTTTGGCGTCTTCTGCCGCCGGAGCAGCCTGCAAACACAAGAGACAGACATTGGACATACATCCAACCACAGAAAAACTTAACTTAAAAACAACCATCACAAGAAAAATCCACCAAGGAAGTCGGGGACAAAGACCGACAAAACCCATTTAGAAGCTTGTGGAATGTTGTGGTCTGCAAAGAAACACGTAATGACACATCTACAAATTTGGATGCTGCAAAGTAAGATAAAGAACGCACCAGAACCCAAACAGCTTTGGGTTATGCCAGTTGTGCCTGCTCTGCTGCTGGGCTCTTTCCTTTGCCTTTTGATGGCCCTTTTGCTGATCCCTTTCCGGGTCCTTTAGCTGTAACCGCAGGTGCCTGTGAGCACACGGACATAGAAACTTTGAAACTGAATGATACGGAAGTAGACTGAAACGGAAACTAAAACTAAATGAAATTGAACCAGTGGACCGGACCCATCACTCTCAAGAGCAGGATCTCAAGAGCAGGATACAGTTTCTGTGTCGTTCGCCTAGTTTCACCAAGTCACCAACACAATCAGAAGCTGCAGCTAAGTGCAAATCTACATGACGTACAGTAGACCAGTAGCTGTCCTCTGCAGTTTCTTTGACCTCTTCAACGGCATCTGCTTTTGCCTCGCCCGTTTCCTTCGTTTCTGGATTTGGTTCTGCTCCTTCTGCCGCTTCTGCTGCTTTGGCGTCTTCTGCCGCTGGAGCAGCCTGCAAACAAAAGCGACATGCATTGGACATACATCCAACCACAGAAAAACAACTTAAAAACAACCATCACAAGAAAAATCCACCAAGGAAGTCGGGGACAAAGACGGACAAGACCCATTTACAAGCTTGTGGAATGCTGTGGGCTGCAAAGCAACACGTAATGACACATCAGACACATCCACAAATTTGGATGCTGCAAAGTAAGATAAAGAACGCACCAGAACCCAAACAGCTTTGGGTTATGCCAGTTGTGCCTGCTCTGCTGCTGGGCTCTTTCCTTTGCCTTTTGATGGCCCTTTTGCTGATCCCTTTCCGGGTCCTTTAGCTGTAACCGCAGGTGCCTGTGAGCACACGGACATAGAAACTTTGAAACTGAATGATACGGAAGTAGACTGAAACGGAAACTAAAACTAAATGAAATTGAACCAGTGGACCGGACCCATCACTCTCAAGAGCAGGATCTCAAGAGCAGGATACAGTTTCTGTGTCGTTCGCCTAGTTTCACCAAGTCACCAACACAATCAGAAGCTGCAGCTAAGTGCAAATCTACATGACGTACAGTAGACCAGTAGCTGTCCTCTGCAGTTTCTTTGACCTCTTCAACGGCATCTGCTTTTGCCTCGCCCGTTTCCTTCGTTTGTGGATTTGGCTCTGGTGCTTCTGCCGTTTCTGCTGCTTTGGCGTCTTCTGCCGCTGGAGCAGCCTGCAAACAAAAGCAACATGCATTGGACATACATCCAACCACAGAAAAACAACTTAAAAACAACCATCACAAGAAAAATCCACCAAGGAAGTCGGGGACAAAGACGGACAAGACCCATTTACAAGCTTGTGGAATGCTGTGGGCTGCAAAGCAACACGTAATGACACATCAGACACATCCACAATTTTGGATGCTGCAAAGTAAGATAAAGAACGCACCAGAACACAAACAGCTTTGGGTTATGCCAGTTGTGCCTGCTCTGCTGCTGGGCTCTTTCCTTTGCCTTTTGATGGCCCTTTTGCTGATCCCTTTCCGGGTCCTTTAGCTGTAACCGCAGGTGCCTGTGAGCACACGGACATAGAAACTTTGAAACTGAATGATACGGAAGTAGACTGAAACGGAAACTAAAACTAAATGAAATTGAACCAGTGGACCGGACCCATCACTCTCAAGAGCAGGATCTCAAGAGCAGGATACAGTTTCTGTGTCGTTCGCCTAGTTTCACCAAGTCACCAACACAATCAGAAGCTGCAGCTAAGTGCAAATCTACATGACGTACAGTAGATCAGTAGCTGTCCTCTGCAGTTTCTTTGACCTCTTCAACGGCATCTGCTTTTGCCTCGCCCGTTTCCTTCGTTTCTGGATTTGGTTCTGCTCCTTCTGCTGCTTTGGCGTCTTCTGCCGCTGGAGCAGCCTGCAAACAAAAGCGACATGCATTGGACATACATCCAGCCACAGAAAAACAACTTAAAAACAACCATCACAAGAAAAATCCACCAAGGAAGTCGGGGACAAAGACGGACAAGACCCATTTACAAGCTTGTGGAATGCTGTGGGCTGCAAAGCAACACGTAATGACACATCAGACACATCCACAATTTTGGATGCTGCAAAGTAGGATAAAGAACGCACCAGAACCCAAACAGCTTTGGGTTATGCCAGTTGTGCCTGCTCTGCTGCTGGGCTCTTTCCTTTGCCTTTTGATGGCCCTTTTGCTGATCCCTTTCCGGGTCCTTTAGCTGTAACCGCAGGTGCCTGTGAGCACACGGACATAGAAACTTTGAAACTGAATGATACGGAAGTAGACTGAAACGGAAACTAAAACTAAATGAAATTGAACCAGTGGACCGGACCCATCACTCTCAAGAGCAGGATCTCAAGAGCAGGATACAGTTTCTGTGTCGTTCGCCTAGTTTCACCAAGTCACCAACACAATCAGAAGCTGCAGCTAAGTGCAAATCTACATGACATAGCTGGCCTCTGCAGTTTCTTTGACCTCTTCAACGGCATCTGCTTTTGCCTCGCCCGTTTCCTTCGTTTCTGGATTTGGTTCTGCTCCTTCTGCCGCTTCTGCTGCTTTGGCGTCTTCTGCCGCTGGAGCAGCCTGCAAACAAAAGCGACATGCATTGGACATACATCCAACCACAGAAAAACAACTTAAGAACAACCATCACAAGAAAAATCCACCAAGGAAGTCGGGGACAAAGACGGACAAAGCCCATTTACAAGCTTGTGGAATGCTGTGGACTGCAAAGCAACACGTAATGACACATCTACAAATTTGGATGCTGCAAAGTAGGATAAAGAACGCACACGACACACAAACAGCTTTGGGTTATGCCAGTTATGCCTGCTCTGCTACTGGGCTCTTTCCTTTGCCTTTTGATGGCCCTTTTGCTGGTCCTTTTCCGAGTCCTTTGGCTGCAGCCGCAGGTGCCTGTCAGCACACGACACACAGAAACTTTGAAACTGAATGTAACGCTAGTAGACTGAAGCAGAGACTCAATGAAAATGAACTAGTGGACCCATCACTCTCAAAACCGGGATACAGATTCTGTATCGTTGGCCTGACTTCACCAAGTCACCAACACCATCAGAAGCTGCAGCTATGTGCGGCTCTAAAGTCACCAACACCATCAGAAGCTGCAGCTATTTGCAGCTCTACATGACATAGCTGGCCTCTGCAGTTTCTTTGACCTCTTCAACGGCATCTGCTTTTGCCTCGCCCGTTTCTTTCGTTTCTGGATTTGGTTCTGGTGCTTCTGCTGCTTTGGCGTCTTCTGCCGCTGGAGCAGCCTGCAAACACAAGAGACAGACATTGGACATACATCCAACCACAGAAAAACAACTTAAGAACACCAAGAACAACCATCACAAGAAAAATCCACCAAGGAAGTCGGGGACAAAGACGGACAAAGCCCATTTACAAGCTTGTGGAATGCTGTGGACTGCTAAGCAACACGTAATGACACATCTACAAATTTGGATGCTGCAAAGTAGGATAAAGAACGCACCAGAACACAAACGGATTTGGGTTATGCCAGTTATGCCTGATCTGCTGCTGGGCTCTTTCCTTTGCCTTTTGATGGCCCTTTTGCTGGTCCTTTTCCGAGTCCTTTGGCTGCAGCCGCAGGTGCCTGTCAGCACACGACACACAGAAACTTTGAAACTGAATGTAACGCTAGTAGGCTGAAGCAGAGACTCAATGAAATTGAATCAGTGGACCCATCACTCTCAAGACCGGGATACAGATTCTGTATCGTTGGCCTGGCTTCACCAAGTCACCAACACCATCAGAAGCTGCAGCTATGTGCGGCTCTAAAGTCACCAACACCATCAGAAGCTGCAGCTATTTGCAGCTCTACATGACATAGCTGGCCTCTGCAGTTTCTTTGACCTCTTCAACGGCATCTGCTTTTGCCTCGCCCGTTTCTTTCGTTTCTGGATTTGGTTCTGCTGCTTCTGCTGCCTTGGCGTCTTCTGCTGCTGGAGCAGCCTGCAAACAGAAGAGACATGCATTGGACATACATCCAACCACAGAAAAACAACTTAAAAACAACCATCACAAGAAAAATCCACCAAGGAACTCGGGGACAAAGACGGACAAAACCCATTCATTCACAAATTTGGATGCTACAATAATGGTGGAACATATCTCTACAAGTAAGATAAAGAACGCACCAGAACCCAAACAGCTTTGGGTTATGCCAGTTATGCCTGCTCTGCTACTGGGCTCTTTCCTTTGCCTTTTGATGGCCCTTTTGCTGGTCCCTTTCCGGGTCCTTTGGCTGCAACCGCAGGTGCCTGTCAGCGCACGGACACAGATACTTTGAAACTGAATGAAACGCTGGTAGACTGAAGCGGAAACTAAATGAAATTGAATCAGTGGACCCATCACTCTCAAGAGCGGGATACAGATTCTGTATCGTTGGCCTGACTTCACCAAGTCACCAACACCAGAAGCTGCAGCTATGTGCAGCTCTACATGACATAGCGACAATGCTGGCCTCTGCAGTTTCTTTGACCTCTTCAACGGCATCTGCTTTTGCCTCGCCCGTTTCTTTCGTTTCTGGATTTGGTTCTGCTGCTTCTGCTGCTTTGGCGTCTTCTGCCGCTGGAGCAGCCTGCAAACACAAGAGACAGACATTGGACATACATCCAACCACAGAAAAACAACATAAAAACAACCATCACAAGAAAAATCCACCAAGGAAGCCGGGGACAAAGACGGACAAAACCCATTTACAAGCTTGTGGACTGCTGTGGACTGCAAAGCAACACGTAATGACACATCTACAAATTTGGATGCTGCAAAGTAGGATAAAGAACGCACCAGAACACAAACAGCTTTGGGTTATGCCAGTTATGCCTGCTCTGCTGCTGGGCTCTTTCCTTTGCCTTTTGATGGCCCTTTTGCTGGTCCCTTTCCGGGTCCTTTGGCTGTAACCGCAGGTGCCTGTCAGCGCACGGACACAGATACTTTGAAACTGAATGAAACGCTGGTAGACTGAAGCGGAAACTAAATGAAATTGAATCAGTGGACCCATCACTCTCAAGAGCGGGATACAGATTCTGTATCGTTGGCCTGACTTCACCAAGTCACCAACACCAGAAGCTGCAGCTATGTGCAGCTCTACATGACATAGCGACAATGCTGGCCTCTGCAGTTTCTTTGACCTCTTCAACGGCATCTGCTTTTGCCTCGCCCGTTTCTTTCGTTTCTGGATTTGGTTCTGCTGCTTCTGCTGCTTTGGCGTCTTCTGCCGCTGGAGCAGCCTGCAAACACAAGAGACAGACATTGGACATACATCCAACATCATCCAACCACAGAAAAACAACATAAAAACAACCATCACAAGAAAAATCCACCAAGGAAGTCGGGGACAAAGACGGACAAAACCCATTTACAAGCTTGTGGAATGCTGTGGACTGCAAAGCAACACGTAATGACACATCTACAAATTCGGATGCTGCAAAGTAGGATAAAGAACGCACCAGAACACAAACGGATTTGGGTTATGCCAGTTATGCCTGCTCTGCTGCTGGGCTCTTTCCTTTGCCTTTTGATGGCCCTTTTGCTGGTCCCTTTCCGGGTCCTTTGGCTGTAACCGCAGGTGCCTGTCAGCACACGGACACAGATACTTTGAAACTGAATGAAACGCTGGTAGACTGAAGCGGAAACTAAATGAAATTGAATCAGTGGACCCATCACTCTCAAGAGCGGGATACAGATTCTGTATCGTTGGCCTGACTTCACCAAGTCACCAACACCAGAAGCTGCAGCTATGTGCAGCTCTACGACATGACATAGCGACATAGCTGGCCTCTGCAGTTTCTTTGACCTCTTCAATGGCATCTGCTTTTGCCTCGCCCGTTTCTTTCGTTTCTGGATTTGGTTCTGCTGCTTCTGCTGCTTTGGCGTCTTCTGCCGCTGGAGCAGCCTGCAAACAAAAGCAACATGCATTGGACATACATCCAACCACAGAAAAACAACTTAAAAACAACCATCACAAGAAAAATCCACCAAGGAAGTCGGGGATAAAGACGGACAAGACCCATTTACAAGCTTGTGGACTGCTGTGGACTGCAAAGCAACACGTAATGACACATCTACAAATTTGGATGCTGCAAAGTAGGATAAAGAACGCACCGGAACCCAAACAGCTTTGGGTTATGCCAGTTGTGCCTGCTCTGCTGCTGGGCTCTTTCCTTTGCCTTTTGATGGCCCTTTTGCTGGTCCCTTTCCGGGTCCTTTGGCTGTAACCGCAGGTGCCTGTCAGCGCACGGACACAGATACTTTGAAACTGAATGAAACGCTGGTAGACTGAAGCGGAAACTAAATGAAATTGAACCAGTGGACCCATCACTCTCAAGAGCGGGATACAGATTCTGTATCGTTGGCCTGACTTCACCAAGTCACCAAAACCATCAGAAGCTGCAGCTAAGTGCAAATCTACATGACATAGCTGGCCTCTGCAGTTTCTTTGACCTCTTCAACGGCATCTGCTTTTGCCTCGCCCGTTTCCTTCGTTTCTGGATTTGGTTCTGGTGCTTCTGCTGCTTCTGCTGCTTTGGCGTCTTCTGCCGCTGGAGCAGCCTGCAAACACAAGAGGCAGACATTGGACATACATCCAACCACAGAAAAACAACTTAAAAACAACCATCACAAGAAAATCCACCAAGGAAGTCGGGGATAAAGACGGACAAGACCCATTTACAAGCTTGTGGAATGCTGTGGACTGCAAAGCAACACGTAATGACACATCTACAAATTTGGATGCTGCAAAGTAGGATAAAGAACGCACCAGAACACAAACAGCTTTGGGTTATGCCAGTTATGCCTGCTCTGCTGCTGGGCTCTTTCCTTTGCCTTTTGATGGCCCTTTTGCGGGTCCCTTTCCGGGTCCTTTAGCTGTAACCGCAGGTGCCTGTCAGCACACGGACACAGATACTTTGAAACTGAATGAAACGCTAGTAGACTGAAGCGGAGACTCAATGACATTGAATCAGTGGACCCATCACTCTCAAGAGCGGGATACAGATTCTGTATCGTTGGCCTGACTTCACCAAGTCACCAACACCATCAGAAGCTGCAGCTATGTGCGGCTCTAAAGTCACCAACACCATCAGAAGCTGCAGCTATTTGCAGCTCTACATGACATAGCTGGCCTCTGCAGTTTCTTTGACCTCTTCAACGGCATCTGCTTTTGCCTCGCCCGTTTCTTTCGTTTCTGGATTTGGTTCTGCTGCTTCTGCTGCTTTGGCATCTTCTGCCGCTGGAGCAGCCTGCAAACACAAGAGACAGACATTGGACATACATCCAACCACAGAAATACAACTTAAGAACAACCATCACAAGAAAAATCCACCAAGGAAGTCGGGGACAAAGACGGGCAAAGCCCATTTACAAGCTTGTGGAATGCTGTGGACTGCAAAGCAACACGTAATGACACATCTACAAATTTGGATGCTGCAAAGTAGGATAAAGAACGCACACGACACACAGAAACTTTGAAACTGAATGTAACGCTAGTAGACTGAAGCGGAGACTCAATGACATTGAATCAGTGGACCCATCACTCTCAAGAGCGGGATACAGATTCTGTATCGTTGGCCTGACTTCACCAAGTCACCAACACCATCTATCAAAGCCACCAACTTCTATCAAAATTTATTACCTGAATTCACAAGCCACCAACTCACCAACACTATTGGAAAGTGCAGCTATGTGCAACTCTACCACAGGACATAGCTGGCCTCTGCACTTTCTTTGACCTCTGCGACGGCCTCTGCTTTTGCCTCGCTTGGTTCTGGCGCTGCTTCTTCTTTGGGCTCTTCTATGGCTGGAGCAGCCTGCGAACATCTGCGAACCAAAGAACTGACATACATCGAAAATAATTGGGACAAGCACAAGGGAAACCACCCAGACAGGTCTGAGCATTCCGAAGACAAAGGCTCAATCAGGCTCATTACAAGGTCATTACAAGGTCATGGACAGAGCAAGTTAACACATCATGTTAGACACTCAATAGTGGATGCTGCACTATTTCAACATCTCTCTCGAAAAATGAAAAACACACCAGAACCCAAACAGATTTGGTTATGCCTGCTCTGCTGCTGGGCTCTTTCCTTTTCCTTTTGGTGGCCCTTTCGATGGGCCCTTGCCGGGTCCTTTTGTTGCAACCACAGGTGCCTGAGAGTGCATCGACACCGAAGATACTGAAAATGAATACGATTGAATATGGTTGAATAACATGCATTTGAATGAAACTGATGCAAACTGAATCAAACTTAAACTAAGTGGAGGCAAATGGATGCAAATGGACCAATCATTTGCATTCATTTGCAGGTTTCCGGAGGACTTTGAAAAGATACCTTCTATCAAAATGACCTGAATTCACAAGCCACCAACTCACCAACACTATTGGAAAGTGCAGCTATGTGCAACTCTACCACAGGACATAGCTGGCCTCTGCACTTTCTTTGACCTCTGCGACGGCCTCTGCTTTTGCCTCGCTTGGTTCTGGCGCTGCTTCTTCTTTGGGCTCTTCTATGGCTGGAGCAGCCTGCGAACATCTGCGAACCAAAGAACTGACATACATCGAAAATAATTGGGACAAGCACAAGG